AAGCAGCTGTGGAGGATTTCTTGTATTTTGAATAAACTGTCCACCAAAATAACGCATTCTAAAATGAGAAAGTGATTAGCAGTGAGATACACAGGGCAGCCAGAGGACTTATGCAGATGTCCAGAGAGGTTTAGGACAGTATAGGAAATAAAAATTTACATCATACAGCTGGTATCAGAATTTCAACAAGGACTGCGTCTGGTGTACAGACAAGAGAAAACTAGATTTAACCATCTCCCAAGTAAAATTAATTCATACCTTTGGAAGGGCAGAACAAAACAAGCAATGCAGACCTCTGCATAGAGCCTATCTCTTGTGAAGAAAAGCAGTGGAAAATTAGCCACGTGTGGGTATGGTCTGGGAACTAGCTTTTACTTATTTAAACTAGCCCAGAAGCTCCTACTTGCCTGCTCAGGGATCTTGTAATATGGTATTATTTGACGACAGAGGGGTGGTGTTTTAGCAGCTGTTCAAAAGAACGAAAAGCCTTGTGTGATTGTTGCAGCTGCTTTCTTCTCCTTTTCTCCTTGAAACACCCACTGGAGACAATGCTTCCCCCTGTGACAGGGACAGCAGCCAGTCTTTGCAAGTGGACTCTACTTCCTTCTGGGGGAGAGGTCTAAACACAAAAGATACTCCTAAAATGTCAACAGATGAAGAGAAAGAAAGATGAAGAAGAAAGATTAAAATACCTTACTGATTTTATTCAGTTAGATTATCAGGGCAGGTGTCTGAAGTTTCTCTAGCATGATCCTCTGGAAGCAAGGTAAAAGACAACTGGGTGTCAAATTAGGTGCTGCTGAAGGTAAGGAACATATATCAACAACCCTGCTTGAAAAGAAGTTCCTTTTCAAGGTCAAATATTTGAAATATCCTTTGTTTGCCACCAGAACTAGGCAATGAAAGAAAAACTGAATGAACTGAAACAAGTCTTGTTGTGAAGAATAGTGACAACTAGTACTCCTCAAGACAAGGCTGAATTAACTTTGTTCCTTTCTTGCTCTCAGAGGAAGCCAGGTGGTAGGACTAGGAAAAGAACTATAATTAAACTCCACCCATCTTCAAAAGCAGGTGAAGAGATCATAATTTGTGAAATAAATCCGTACAATTAGACCATATTCATACAATTAGAAGCTGAACACTGAATGATTAGTGATTCATGAATAGAGCTCACAAACTTAAATGAGGAAATCCAATTTATATTTGCTTTGTTGTGATGATCTTTCTCAAACCTATGTCTGTAGCCAGAAATGAACTTAGACATCTCATAAGAAAGTGCGTGAACATGATTTTTTTATTTTATATTTCTGAGAAATTCCTTTGAAAAAATGTGCAATACCTTACTTTCATACTCACATGACAATGTTATGTGGAAGTTGGGGGTTTTTTTGACTGGTTTTGTTTGTTTGTTTGTTTGTGGTTTAATTGTTTTTGTTTTTGTTGTTGTTGTCATTTGTTTTTTTTGTTGTTGTTTTTTTTTTTGTTTTTGTTTTTTTTTTTTTTGGTTGTGGTGTTTAATTTTGTTATTGCAAAGTATTAAGTTTACTGACTGTATTAGGATCCCAAAAGGGTTTTGTTTCTTTGAACTCTCTCTGGAGACTGCCTATAAAGTATGAACATCCCTATCCAGTAAGATAAAAGGTCCACTTATTTCAGGAGCCTGTCTTCAACAGCGGTCAATAGATGAGGCCAAAGAGAAGAACTGACACCCTCAGGCAACACACTCTGCCTTCATATTCAAACTGTAATCAGTATTGTGTGATCTTATTTTTTTTAAACTCATACAGAGAACACTCACAATAAAACAACACAACCACCAATAGTTTATGCTCTAAAAAGTAATCTTTAAGAAGTAGTCTATGGTATGTACAGCTCTAATTAACCTGGTATGCCCTCATAGCTGACCCCAATTTCGGCAGGTGGAGTTCTCTTGAGATCCTCGAAAAGAGTGTCCAGTGCCTGCTTCCACAAAGGATACATGTGACAACAGAAGAGGAATTGCCAAAACTAAAGTAAACAGGTTGTTTCCACTTCAGTGGAAAGATGCTGTCCACATGTTTCAGCAACAGTGGCTACTAAATAAACGTGTAGTGGTCCAGCTATTAGAGAGGGACACAGAGCAAGTGTGCCAACTCTGGAAACTTGATCCATGGGGTACTGCACTAAAGCACTGACTTGGGACTTCGTTTTCTTTCCTATTTGCTTTACAAACAGCTCCTCATAAATCCCTTCACACAATCCTCTTCAGAACCACCTGTACTTTCTTCTCTCCTATTTCCTGGGAGAGGAACATGAGAATAAAGCAACAAAACTTCTCACTTCTGTTTGTTTTAAATCTTCTCCTTTATTACCTCTAGCATTGTTTCCCTGTTGTTCTTCCATGCATTTACCTAGTTTTGGCAGTGAACTCCTGGGGCAGGAATGGTGTTTCTGTAAATTTCACTGTATTTATTGAGCTACATAATGATCATCCACAGAACAGGTTATTATTATGATTGTAACAGGTCTCCAGGACTAACCAGTCAGAATGAGAAAAGCCAGCTGTTTTTTTAAAAAATATAATATATATTCTTGACTAATATCAGCTACTTTCTGAGCTTTTTAGTGAGAGAGTGAGACTGCAAAGAATGTTGAACCTCTAAAACACTCCCATCTCAGACTTATGAATGGGCAATGGGATGCTCTCTAAAATGGGAAACCTGATAGACTTTATCTGACTGGTAAGTCAGAATATTTTGTTTCATAACTAGCTTGTGCTTGATTGAAGAAAGTTTTACATTTTAGCTCACTTAAGGGAGCTAACCCTCAGTTCTACGCTGAGTGTTGGTTTTTTTTTGTTGTTGTTGTTTGTTTGTTTGTTTGTTTTGGCGTGGTTCATTTGGTTTTTAGCTTTCACTTTCTTCTCTGGGATTTCTGGCAATCCTCTGTCCTGTTTGGGGTGGGATTTCAAAAAATGGCCTTGAGATTTCAATAGCACAAGCTCTCATGCTCCAGAGTTATTTAGAGTACTTGGAAAATTCCTGTTCTAGGTGTTTCGGTTCTCTGCCTTTGAAATGTGTATAGTAATGGACTATCCTGTCAGACTGCTGAGAGAATCAGTGAATTTGGTGCTTTGTGGTCAGTGACTCTGTTGAGATGAGGTCTGAAGTTTTATATTACCGTGTAATCTACATATAGAGGTCATTATCATGGTTGTATTTATCTTTATTTTTATATTGTGCATATAGTAGTTTGTTGGATCAAAAACAAACCTTGTGATGGAATATCATAAGGTGCCATTTACTGATTTAGCAGATAGGGATAGTTTAGCTATAAGGTTATCACCAAGGCAGGGCTAAAATTTGAGCCTGGGCTTCCTTAAGGAAGAGATGACATGATTACAAGTGTCCTTTAGGCCTAAGAACTACGCCATGCATTATGAAAAACACAGATTAGGAAACTAAACATGTTTGATTTTGGTGTTAATGCTGTAATGGCTAGTTGCTTTAAGATTGCTGTAACATGTTACTTGTGGTTATGAGTAATAATTGTTATTTAAAATATTACAAAACTGTTAATGAGCACTAACCTTGTGTACACTAATTTCAAGATTGATGATACTACATGGAGGTAATGCTTGTGTAAATTTGCACGTAGATGTAAAGCAAGAGAGCTGAAGATTACTGGGAGAAAAGTGTCATTTTTCTAATACTCTTATACTGCAAAGTGGGAGGTGCCAGACAATAGGTGTCAGCACTGGCTCAGCTATGCACAACTTTGCTGCAAGTGTAGATTAAAGCAGCTGGTGTTAAGCATAAATTTGCTGTGAACTATACTTTCAGCAAACTGAATGCCTGTAAAGAAACGCAGGAATAGTGTTTGACACTTGTTATAAAATACCTTTTCTAGGGGTTGGACTGGGAAATAAAATAAATGAATCAGAAGATAAAAGCTGGTAAAAATAAAATATGCATTGTAGTCACTGTGACATATTTACAAAATTCTGAAGGAAAGACTGTTTCTGAAAATTGCAATTTAATTAGGTTTTGTTGTTTTTTGAATTGTTTAGAGAGATTCCTGGGAGGAAGACTTTGATATAGTGTTTTCCCCAGGGATTTAAAAGAAAAATAACAATAAAATAATTGAAACTAATTGAAACTGAAAAAGGAAAGCAAAATCACAAGAATCAGAATGGAGCAGATAGTGTTAGGAAACTTCCATGAGACTTTGGAATTGTGCTGGTTTGTGGTGGAATATTAAACTGGAACTAGGGATTTATGCATCTTGTTCATGAAAACAATGCACGTCCTGTAGGGGCCTGTGGATGATTCTGCAACAACTTTGGAAGAAAAAACAGGAAGACTTAATGCAAAATGTGCAGTTGTGTAATGGAGAAGCCAGAAGAAACCATCACCAAGGGAAGGGAAGTCAAAAAATTTTTGTCTTTCCTCTGTATTTTGCTGGCAACATGCACCTAAGAACTGGGATGTGATGATTAAGCCAGAAAAGGTAAGCCTAAACGCTTTAAGAGCCCAGTGAAAACATTATGGTCTTAGCCCAGCGCCTCTTCTGAGGTGCTGGATCAGGGTGTCAGTTTTCTAGAATTGCTTTTATCTGGACAACACATTTCTGTTTAAATAATATCCTCACAGGTGGAGGGTACTGTAGCTTTAAAACTGTTAAGGAAGACTAGTGAAATAGTCTTGCAGTCAGTCTACTAGCAGATGTGCATGTATCAAGGAGTTTTCTAAATAAGCAGGTGCTGTCTTTAGAGATTGCTGTGTGGGGAATACCAATATTTGGTGAGGGATAGTTGGGAGAACCTCCCCCCTTCCTCCCCCGAAGGTTGCATTGTATTGCAAAATACTGAGAGTTTGTTGCAGTGCCCCAAGCCTGGCAGTGTAATCTAAAGGGAATGCAGTGGAATTGTGATCTATTACTATATAAAAGGGGGTGGGTCACTCTGCTTGTTCCAGCTCCTTTTCTGTCATTACGGCTGCAGAAGCACCAACCAAAGGCAGCTGGCACGCCTCTTCGTTGGCTCTTATATAATATGGGGTTTCACAGGGCACTGATGTAGAAATAAAGTCAAACATTCTTGAGGCAGACTCATATTACTTGTCGTATCGCTGGTGCTCACTGTGCTGTGGGGTGTAGGGCTGCTCTCAGAAGGGTGGTCTGTGGCCCTATCTGAGTGAATTCTGGAAGGTGAACAGGATGGCTCCAAGCGAGGCAGTGGATGAACTTGTTTTCTTTGTGAATGGTAAAAAGGTAAGGAAAATTCCAGCTTTCTGTCCAGCTTGCTCCTGGATTGTGGCTCGATTACTTACTTTTCTAGTCATCTTTTTCCTCCTCTGAAGTTTTCTAATACCAGCACATATGCCATGGCTTTTAAATATTAATTGTGAAAACTATGTATTGCTTTGCTAAGTGGCTTTTTATCTTTGACTTTACCTTGTGAATTATTCAGAGTAACACAACTATATAATGTTCCTTTTACATTTTAGATTTGTTGGCAATAATGTACTGCAATTTTTAGGTAACTACTTTTAAATAAGGGTGCACTGCTTAATATAGGCATTTCTTCTAGAAATAATTTCAGCAATTACAGGAGATCTGGCAAATGTAACTCAAATGTAACATCCATACAATTCATATATTCAGCAGTAATTCTGACACTTGGTTTTTGAAAGGAATTTAGTAAACTGTTTATTCCATTTCCATTTAAGAAGCTAGAAAACTCTTAAAAATCAAAGTCCATTAACTGATACTGATTCCTAGGTCAACTGCTGACAATAATCTAAGAGTAACTGTGTCTCACAGGAGGGTGGGGTGGTTCTTGCACATGATGGACACATTTTAACAGTTTGTCCCAGAGCCCCCTTTCTCAGTTTGGACTTTCTCTGGCTGTCATTTTGCCTTGACAGTTCAAAACCTTGTTACACGTCAAACCTGTCTCTTTCTTTGAACTGTGAGTACCAAGTTAGTTCTGTTTCTGAGCTCATTTCGGTGCTAATCTTGGTCCATCACGTTCCCCTTGCCTAGATACTTGGGCAGGGAAACTTGTGCTAAAGCAGCTTCCAGCTGGGAAACCTGGAAAGATGAGGGGGTTGCATATCCACTCCAGTGTGGAGCCAAGAGTTTGTGGACCTTCCCTGTGCACTGCTTAGGGGTAAATCACGTGCTGCACTAAGTTTGGGCTAGACAACTAATTTTTTAATCCCTTGAGGGATCGCACAATACTCTCAGTTGGCTAAAAAGCTCTGTGCCCTGAACTACAGACCGGCACAGGATTACTATCAGTTTTGCTTTTGTTGATCTTTCATGCTAGTTTAATCAAACGTAAATGTGAATGAGATTGTTGCTACAATTAGGGGTTTTAGTTATGAATTTGGATCCCAAACTGGATTCCAAGTTACTGGTGCATTTGATATCAATGTTTTGTTTTATTGAAGTATCAATAGTTTACTGAAGAATGAAGTTTATATAGTATAGATTATAAATTAGTCATAGAGCTCTTGAATGTAATACTGATGTAGAGCACAGCCCTGGTTCTGAGGTTTTATAAAGGATGACAACTGAAGCTCTCCTCACATAGATCAGTAGTGGTTCATATGTCAACATTAATTGGTATATTAGCTATTCTCTGTTTCTAGAGAGAGGTGAAAACATAAGCTCCAAGAAATCATGATTAGCTAATTGAGCCTGGTAGTCGAGATTGTGGCACAGGGTGATCTGTGAATGCCATCTGATGAATTTTCTGCTGTGGCGAGCAAAGGTGGCACACCATTAACTTGTTGTGTTCTTGCTCGGTGAAGTTTTAGTGAGATCCCTCCTCTGTGAACCCCAATTTTTAAACAGTGAACTGGGAGCTCTTTGGTTCTTGGAGTAGGAGGTTGCTGCAAGTGCTTCAGGCAATCTGGACTTTGATACAGGCCAAGTGTCCTGTCTGGTTTTCTTTTTCTGGTATGCTCTAATGAAAGAGAATTGTAGTTCTGGTGCCAGACCAGCTAAAGTTCAAATGAAGTCTTTATGAACAAATTCCTATATACATTTACAGGTGTTGCTTCAGCACTGGTTGGTGCTGAGGCATTACAAGAGTGTTGCTCTGCGTAAATTGGTAGAAAACCCCTTCTCCTGGAGAAAACTGTTGGCTAACATATGAAAACCTCTATTAGTCAAAGCACAGAGATGGTCCTGTGAGACTCTTTTTTATTTGTGTGGGGTGGGGGAGAGAAGGGGAGAAAGAGCAATCTACATTATGAAGGCCAGCAGAAGAAAACAACCTGTTTGTTTTGTACCTTCTGTCTGTTCTTGCTGAGTCCTGCAGCTAATGAACATGCTGTGAATGACATTGCCCTTGGTGCATTTCAGCAATTTTTATGGAACTGCTGTTCCTGTTTACAAAAGCCACACATCAGAGCTGGCCATGTGCATGTGTGGAGGGGTTTATCACAGTGTGATCTTGGCAGTTTGGCTAAAAAAAAAAATCACCAGTGGATGATTAATACTACCAATGGTACCAAACCATCTAACATGTCAAAGCTCTTTCTGCATCCTTCCCTACTGGCTCATGGAACTTGCAGTGCTATCAAAGGAGCAGGTTCCACTTGCTCTACCCAGAGCCTCAATGGCATTTTCTTTTCTATTCCCTTTTTGGGTGTGTTGCTGAAGTGGTTTGAGTTATAACCCCACCAAATGCAGATTTAAGAGAAAGAATCAGACTCATGGGGCAATCTGATCTGTGGCAATGAATATGGAATTTGTTGGGATATTTGTGCACATGAGAGGTTTTCTGATGGAAAGAGTGGTGGGAAATGCCTGGGCAGGTAGCAAGAGGAGAAGCTGAGGGGCAGGCACTGATCTCTTTTCTGTGGTGACCAGTGACAGGATTTGAGAGAACAGCATGAAACTGTGTCAGGGAGGCTTAGGACAGATATTAGGAAAAGGTTCTTTACCCAGAGTGTGGTTGGGCATGGGAGCAAGCTCCTCATGGAAGTGGTCACAGCACCAAGCCTGTCTGAGTTCAAGAAGTATTTGGATAATGCTCTCTCCTGAACTTTGATGATCATTGTGAGTTCCTTCCAACTCAAGATATTCTATGATTCTACGTTAGGATATGGTTCTATCCTTCTGGAGCCCTGACTAAATGTTCCAGTTAATTCAGTGCAAAGAATGTGATAGCATGACCAGTGGGAAAGATTGCTGCTGTGTGAATTCATGACAGCTTGACATTGCTAATGGGCTGCTGATATTCTGTCATAGTACAAAACACTGTGATGAGGTGGTTTGTAAGATAGGAACTTGGATAGTAGCAAATTCTTCTTTCTTGCATTAGCCCAGTCTATACTGTTGTCAAAAAAAAGTCTCCTTGGAACAGCTGAGCATACTCCACATTCAGGACTGTTTATTTTAAGCACCTGTTTACTTCCCTAGGCATAAAGATTTGCACATAACTAACTCAAAGTTATCTTAGTAGTCTGCCTAGACTATAATGGAAAACAACACGCTCAATTTAAAGCTAATAGTGGCAATTTTGTTTTCCTCGTCTGACAAATCTGTCTCATGCATATGTAGCATGTAATTTTAGTTCAAACATGTAGTCAATATTTCTATTTCTATTCTGAATGCTAAGAGGGGATCTATGCTGGAAGCCACATTAGAGCTCTCCCAAAATTCTGTAGATTGCAGATGGGACTGGCTAAAATACAGGAGTTTTTTGGGATGAGCTTTGGGACCCTCTGGGTTCTACATAAACAGTGAATTACAAGTTTTCAGTGTGCTGGTTTAAAGCGGAACAAAATGTTCTCATGACCAATAGCAGATTTACACTGTGTGGTTATATTCAGTTTGTTCATCTGTGTTCTAGCCTTTTTTCCTAGTAAATGAATTTGAAATCTCTCATTGACTCCAGGAACAACACATTCACAGATTTTAAGGTCCTTTACAGTTGACTAGCCTGACTTGCTGTGTGGCAGTCTGGTTTAAACTTTTCACTTTCTCTTCTTGCAACTTACTGAGTGACTAGGGACTAGTGATTGAATGGGAGATTGTCCTTCAGGAAAGCATCTGTTTCTCACTGAAAGACCCTAGCTGATGTAAAGCATGCTTGGTAAACTAGGAAAGTTTCTTTTTTCTCTTTCTTTCTGTTCCTCTATTTACCTTGTTCAACTACTGTTCTTTTAAATTGAAACATCTTTTTTTAACTTTCTGGGAATAACAATTTAAATATGATGTTTTATGTTGCAAAGGCAAAGTTATCTGAATTAGAAAAAGGCAAGTAGAGAAACTGGAAAACAAAATATTTCTTGAGATGTACATGAAACTACGGGGAAGTGAGTTCAACATCTCTCTCTCTGGAGTAGCCCATGGGCTCTAAAAGTGTGGGGTACTGCTTCAGAACCTGCTCCATGTAGTACTTAAAAACTTGAATAACTGTAGGGCCGGGCTGGGCTCCCAGCTGAGGTGGGTCTGAGTATTTCAGATTCCTAGAATCAGTAGACAAATAGACACGTAATACAAACACAGCAGAGCGAAGTTGTTGAGAGTCATTTGAGTGTCAGTGCCATCCTAACACTTCCAGCAAAGTTTCTTTCTGAATTTCATTAATAATTAAGCTACTGCGTGCAGTAAAATCCAATTTTGAGTCTGCCAAAATGTAGCCGGCAACCTGATATACCTGCAATATGACATTTGATTTAAAAAAAAACCCCTAAAATAAAACAAAGCACCAAACACTAAAAAACAGTAACTGACCAAAAGAGAAATATTTCTTTAGCTGCAGTATCTATGTAGTCTGATCCTAAACCACTGAATGGATATAATTCAGTATCTTTCTGTACAAGGGCACTGAGGAGGTGAGCACGAATTGTGATTACTGAGCTGTGAATCATATTGTACTGGGCATCAGACAAGAGATGTTATCCCCACCCACAGAGTTTTAAAATATTTTAAGAACAAATCACAGCAGGTGACTGCAACAAACCACTGGAGGAATGATATGCTGGAGGACAAACCTGTATAAATGACAATGAAAAAAAGTCAGGAACAGCAACAAGTTCTTACTTTGTGCCCAGCAAGAGAGACTCATAAACAAGCATCCTCCCACTAGGAATCTGAGTGAAAAGAAATGACTCCTTGCTCTCTGATGTTTGAGATTTATGTTAATGCAGAATGTCCTCCAAACTCTTACCTCTTATCTCCCTCTGATTACTAGTCTCTGCCAGTATTGCAGATATACAGCTACAGTGGAGTAGTTTGAAGTGACTGAAGTAGCAATCCAGGGCTGTTGGTTTGAACAGAGTAAGGGTGTGGATTGTCTGGGACATGGTCTTCTGCATAGTGGGAATCACTTCTGATAAAATTGAGCAAAGATTTGAGTTTGGGGCTTTCCACATGCTGAAGTGCTTCACTAAAAGTGCATGGAGCTGAGCGGTTAAATGAAGAATGAAGGTTTAGGCCTGAGATTAATTTGTTACTTCCTGAAAAGAAGCCAGTGGGCCAAATCTTTAATTGACAGAGTGCATCTTGGATTCTTTCAAGAAAACCTCTTGAGACATTTTCTTTGGTCTAAACATAAAATAATCTCAATAGCCTTTAACTATTCTGAAGCTTCTTCTCTGTGCCCGGCTATCTGGGAAGCTGCTTTGGAAGGGTTTGCAATGTCCACTGGCACAGGCACAAGGAAGAAACTCAGGTTGACAGTGACAGTGGGAGTTGCCAGGGAAGGCTCTTTGCCTGTGAAATGGCTCTGAAAGGCCATTTGTCCACTCCTAGTCACAGGGGTTTTTGGAATTATCTACTCGTGTCTGTTTGTTTGCCAAACTGCTGCAGAGGGATGTGTGGGCTTACTCTGAACCAGATGGCCACACCAGAGCTGCTGAGTGCTCTTATTTGTTTCTATGCATCCAGAAGGTGAGGGAACTCTTAATAGCAACCATGAGTGCTGCATGATGTGCAGTGTGACATTTCCAAAATAGAAGAATGAACTATGTTTTCTTTTCAAGGAAAGATATTTACATTATCCCCAATGCAGGAGTGAGATGTGCAAAAAATGACCAGTTGTGTTTTGTAGCAGCAATTTTATTGGATGGTTCTAAAAAGGTGGACTCAAATAGGAAGTATGAACCTTGTCTCTTTAGAATAACCCTGTCACATGTCAAAAGCATAAAAGTGAAACAGTACAGAGGGTTGTGAAGGTTTCTTATCAGTAAAGAAGCAAAAAACAAACCAACTTGCACAAATGACCTCTCTTTCAATTTGCCCTTCAAACTGGGAGTGATTAATTTAAATAAACTGTCACTATTGTACTTAGGACTTGCATAACATAATAACCAAGAACACATGATTACATTCTGGCACACAGTGAATTTGGAAAAGTTTCTTGACACTTTATTAACAACAGAAAAAGGGGGAGACAAGCTCTGTGGCCATTTGGAGGCAAGGGCAGAACTTTAGTTTCTGACCATTGGGCAGAGGTTGAAGTAAAATATCTAACGGTTATTTTATGTCTAATGGATACCCCCTAATAGCATTGTTTACTAATAGGATGGAACTGGCTCAAAATATGCAGAGAAAATTTCTCCTTGCTTGGAATTCCGTATTCCCACATTTAGGATGGCTATGAATGCAACATGATTGATTTAGGATTAGAAAGGAAGAAAGAGAAACTTCAAGAGGTTTGGTACTTGCTGCCCATCCTGCAGCACCTGTGTTGTCACAGAATTTTCAGTGTTGCTTTTTTTTCTCTGCAAAGTCTGTTACTGCTGCTGTTTCTGTCATTCTGTTTGTCTGCTCATTTTTTCTGTCTCTTCTATCAGTAAGAAGAAGGAACTGAGTTCAGCCATGCATAGTCAGTAAAGATGAGACACCATTTGGGGAAATGTCAGGAATCCAAAACTTGAGTACAAAACACAGTTCTTTCCTCACTACTAACTCTGTTTGCCATTTTTGATGGAAGCTTTTTTTGGATTTGCCTCAGTGTGCCATGGCTGAAAAACTCTGACCTATGTAATGCATATACACAATAAATTCAAGGAAACGTTGTGTCTGGATACATGACCAACGTTGCTGAATTAATCAGTGATTTTGCTCCCTAATTTGGAAAAGCGGTTGCAGAAAGACCAGACTTTCTCATTCCAACTAAGTATCTGTGTTGTAAAACCTTCTGTGTATAACAGTACCTTTTGCTTCTTGCAGGTGGTGGAAAAAGATGTGGACCCAGAAACAACTCTGCTAACTTATCTACGAAGAAAATGTATCCAGTGTTAGAAGAAACTGCAGGAGGCTTTAAATGCCTACAGTATTTCATGATTGTTTACTGTTGTGTCTGTCACTTGAGTGCTAGGCAGAGCTTTTACACAGAGTATAAGAGAGAGTGGTCTGCATGGTCTGGTGTTTCTTCCTGGCAGAGATTACAGCTGGTATTCCTAGCATAAACTATAGCAAATTTTAAATAATATACTTCAAATAAACTTCAAATACTTTATTAATGCTTTGAAGGAAAAACTCTCAGAATGTCTAGGAACTGGAATATGATGGAAAGGAAGCAATATTGAGATTACAATAAAATTGAAGGAAATTTAGTTCTGTTCCACACAAATTGCAAAGAATTTTCTGGCCAAAACATCACAGCCACTTGAAATCCTTGCTGTTTCATCCATTAATTTGGATGTTACTGGATAGCTAATATCCAGTAAATGACAGTTCTGTGGCTTGTTTATCAGATGACCCCAGGAGGCAAGCTCAGATGTACCACCGTGTACCATTGGCATGTTTACATGAGCAGATGCAGGAAGTCACGTTTCACTCCTGTTTGAAGCTGGTCAACACGTGAGTCAGAATAGCTTCAGAAGCTGAGTAGCTATTACTGTGGTGACCAGGCTGGCTACACTAGGTCTGGTTCTGTAGGTAGTGTCATTCCATGTTTTCTGAGTTTTTGTCTGGCCAGCTGGGTGTGTACATGTGCCAAACTGTTCATATCTGTGCTGGTATATTACTTGAGAAAGTCATGCATACTTATTTCACCCTGCTGCTGTGTTCTATTTGTCTGGGATCTGAAGGAAGTATGAGGGCATGAATCACACTTCTCTTTGGGATTTCCAACAGAACTATCAACAGCCCTATTGATCTGACTGTACCTTGTGTGGATAAAGGTCAAGAGGAACTATAAGTGGCATAACTCTTGTGCCTGTATGCCTTTCTTACCACTAGGCCTTTTGTGCCTAAGCTTGTTGATATCTAATGCAAATAACTTTGGAAAGGGATAATCTCAGCTCTTCAAAACCTACTTATCTTCTGCATGAGCATTCTGGGGAACTCATTTTGTACATGTCTGGTTAGGGACAGACAAATACTTCCAGAAACATGTTTTATTGAGGCAGGTTAGCACTGTTGTCAAGAAAAACATTGGATGGCATAGGAAAGCTGTATTTCTGCTCAAGCAGGCACATGATTGTATGAAAAGCAGACGAGGCACTTAGGGACGAGATTTAGTAGAGGACTTGGCAGTGTTAGGTTAATGGTTGGACTTGGTGATCTTAAACATCTTTTCTAACCTAAATGATTCTATAATTTTTATGATTCTTTGAAAATAGTCAGTTCCAGAATCTTTGCAGTGAAAGTGAAGGTGATTTGAGTTCCCTCTATCACAGTTCCTGTTGTTTTTTTCACAGGCCTAAATTGACTATCTCAAAACAGGCACGTGTCCATTGCCAATGAAATCAGCTGGTTTTTTCCCCATCAAAATGTCTCAGCATTGTCCAGTCCTCTTTGCAATAAGTAACACCTTCTAATTACCTTCTAGTGAGTGAAGGAACCCAAAGCAAAAGTGACTCAAGGAATTTTCTTCTGAACCCCTTTGCAGAACATTTGATCTAATGCCTGATTGTAAAGTATAGACATGAGCTCTGCAGCAGAGGATGTTATTGGATAGCTAATATCCAATAAATGACAGTTCTGTGGCTTGTTTATCAGATGACCCTAGGAGGCAAGCTCAGAGGCAGGGGTTCCCATCACGTAGCAGAGGAATCTGCTTAGGCCAGTCCATGCGCTTTGTGAGGTCCCAAGTGTCTTTGCAGAGGTTGTGTGCATCTCCACCAGTTCTGGCTCTCAGTGTCTACCTCCTGTGGTTTTATGGGAACCGGAATCCTGGGAAGTGTGCTTGGCTGGTTTTGTCCCTAGGAATTTGGCAAGTGATTCTAGATGGGGTCAAGAGAGAAGGTTGGGTGGGCAAAACATGAGTCTTGAGATGCAGATAGTTCAGGAGCAGTTCAAGTAAGATCCTGGGAGTCACCAGGTGTGGGAAGAAGTCGACAAGCACCGGTCAGAGGTGCTGGAGGAGATGTCACCATTCAGCTCAGGGATGTGGCTGCATGCCTGAACAGCTCCTGCTCAGCAATTACTGAGTGCTTTATCTCCCTTATGTCGTTTCTTTCTCTGAGTAATGGAAAGTGGCAACTGTTGAAGTTCAGATTTTTTTTTAGTTTATTCTAAGAGTCTGTTGGAACGTGGGCTGCCTCCTTATTAGGGCTTTGGGTGTTGATCTCAAAGCTCACATGCCAGTATTTGAAACTTTGCTTATGTCAAATTATTAAGCAATAAAAATGAGTCCTTGGTTTCCAGCACGAACTTGTTACTCCGCCTTGATTGACAACTTGAGCAGGTTTCTGTGAACACTTTTCATGTTTTCCTTAATTCCTGTACTCTCAGTGGGCCTGTGTGGAACCAAACTAGGCTGTGGAGAAGGTGGATGTGGTGCCTGCACTGTTATGATATCCAAGTATGATCCCTTTCAGAAGAAAATTCTGTATCCTTTGCAATTTGAAATGTGAACAGATCCAGGTTCTTGACATTCCAGAAATGATATTCTTTTGTTCTGTTTTGTTTTTTAAAAACTTATATAATTAATATTTCTGCCAAAACAGTACTTTTCACTTTCAGAACATAAACTCAGAAGGCTAAGACAAGAAGGTATTTTTTCTTAAAGCATTGCACAGAACTATTTTGTTGTGCCCTGCAATATCTGCGCAGATTCTATCACATAGTCTTATCTGCCTTTTCCCATTTCAGAAATACTCTTGCAGTATAATGTAGCTTTTTCCTATGATGATCCAAAAAATGATTACTGTGATAAAATCTTTATTGTTATTGTATTACTACAATAATCTGTTTTCTGTATGCCAGCAGATATTAACTTTTTTCTCTACTTGTAACTGTCAGAATTATTTCCTGAGAAATAAACTTTCCTCCTGTTCTCACTTTAATTAATCAAAAGGTGAAGCATTGGCATCAAACAAAAAGGGGAATAGGGAGAGAGGATGAGGCAGAGAGACAGGCTCCAGTTTATATTTACTGTGGGGAATAGAAAGCACTGAAATCTTTGATATATTTGGAATAATACTTGGAGATTGGATCATCTAACTTAGTGGTTCTGCTTAATAGTGTGGCAATAAATAGGATATTAGGGTCATTATTCTGTCTTGATAGAAGTGAGATAAAGTACCTAGTTCTTATAAGAGTTTTGGCCACATTATTCTGTTTTACCTTCAGTCTAGACTTTTCCCCTTTGTGTACCCTCTAGAAACAGCTTTCTAGGTAAAAGGCCAAGAACTCTGTACTCTTGATTAACTTTGCAAGTGGCCAGCTGTATAACATCTTGGTATTTGTAGTCTGCCCCTATATATTACTTATATTGGTTGTGTAGCTTAACGTGCAACAGGGATGTTTATAGTTGTTATTTCTAGGTTAAATCATATGGTGCATGCTCAGTTTAACCTTCAAGTGAAGTTGATGAGAACTTTGGATGACTAGGTGTGTAGGATTTGGCTTGTAACTAATACTTGTAGCACATCTATTTAAGTTCTCTTATTGTGCCCACTACTATAGTGTCTAAGTACTCTTCATTCCTCCTGTTCTCTTTTTCCTTTGTTGAGCAGCACTGTCAAATGAAATGACCTTAATTTATTATTTTAGCCACCATACTGCCAATGCTTGTCTCTTCCCTGTCTGTGCCCTGCATCACGTAGCTGTAACGACTGTTGAAGGCATAGGAAACACAAAATCCAGGCTGCACCCAGCCCAGGTAAGCTATTAATCCTGGTAACTTTAAATCCTCTATCCATGTTTTCCTAGGATAATTACTTCTGTTACAGAGTGTTGAGACCTCCATTGTAATGTTAAAGCCAAGAGACTGGCTTTCCACATGAGTAGTCCCTACTTGGAGGGATGTCTGAGTGCCAGAATCATCACCCTGGGTCAATGCTGCAGCTCTGTTATGCCCCTAGCAAGTTAACTGGTGTTATCCTGGCTGAATTGCTAATGCTTTTGTTCTAGGGCTACGTGGCAGCATTTGGTTCACATCCTGGACTGGGGAGACTGACGTTGCAGGGAAAGCCAATATAATGACTTGGAGCTAGGAAATCTGAGATGGGTTTTGACTCTCCTATGGCCTTCCATGAATGACCTTAGTTTCTCATCCTGCGTAGTCAGAAACCCTTCCTGTGGTAGTGAAGTAAAGTTTGCTTCAGCAAAGTTTCTGTAATCTCAAAATATTCTTGTTGTGGAGGTGTGACAGGAATGTGAAGCCCTGTTTTTCTAGCACAGTGTTATAATGCAGCCTTACCTCAGCTTTGTCAGAGATCCTGCCCCCTTAATGTAAACTGTGATTCATCTCAGTTTGCACAGTGGGTAGGACTTGTGCCAATATCTGTCTAAGACAGTAAACAACAAAGTGAAAAATAAGTTAGATATGCATCAATGGATGGCAGCTAGTCTGACCTTTGTTTGTTTGTCTTCTTTTTCCTGCTTCCCATGAAGATTCCAAGCTTTGAAACTCAGACTCAGGCAGCCCCAACATTCCTAGCATGGTATATCTGAAGAACTCCTGATCTCACTGGAGGCTTCTAGTCACCTTCAGTTACAGTGTGTGTTCAAAGCCTAGGTACAGACTTTTCATGCTGTTTTTTAATTTGAAGTCTGCTTCACAGATTGATTGACCATCTATCTCGTCAGATAACATCTGGTGATAATCTTATCTCCCCTGGTGTGACTGGGTGTTCTTTTTAGCAGAGATGTTACAGAAACAAGCACAGCACTGATGTCATCATGATATTATGGGCTAATGGTTGTTTTTACTTTTTCTCAGGAGAGGATAGCAAAAAGTCATGGTTCCCAATGTGGCTTTTGCACTCCAGGCATTGTCATGTCCATGTATACATTGCTTCGGAACAACCCTGAGCCCAAAATGGAAGACATTGAAGATGCTTTCCAAGGTAATACTAATAAACCCTGCAGGGATGCGACCTGTTCTGCTTTTGTTACATCTACTTCACCAAATGGGATGGAGGTGCACCTTTATTTAATGTATTTTATTAAAAATAGCTGATTGTTATGAGGTTAAGAACTAGCTTTTCCACTAGGGGACTGGGTAGGTGCTATGAAGTGAAAAAAAAAATAACCTGTAAAAGATCTCACAGAACCTCATTCTTTGCCCATAAGCAGGGGCAAGTGACCTCAGTCTTGGATTAGGAACCCACTAATATTAATAAAGAACAAAAGGTGGCCTGTCTCTGAGGGGCTTGCTTATTCATTGCTGTGACAAGAGCCTGCAGAGGTGATGGAGAACATCTGGGCCAGGCAACCTCAAGTAAAGGACCAAGACAGCAATATACATGATGGAGTGGGGCAGAAACCAACTGTGTAAATCATCTGAGAGGTTGTTGTTATTGCTGAAGTTAGAGTCATTACTGTGCTTCCAGAAATGATCCAAGAGGAACGATGATGCAGGAGAAAGCAAACTCTGTGTAATTCAGGAGAGGGAATATAGTTATCACACTAATAAGGCTCACACAATTGAGATAAATGAGTACTGAATAAGGCAGATTGAATTTGTTCTAAATTAATTTCAATTTAAAATTTCAACAAAAAGTAAGGTAGGATTGTTGCAGGTTTACTAATGAAATTTTTTCCCTCCCAGTTTTTTCATTAGCTTTATCTATATTTGACAATCTTTTGTGAGAAACAATGAAATTATCTAAAAGAAGAGAAGTTCATAGCCAAATGGTGCTAAATGTTTAACCTTTTGCTCTGGCAATGCAGGGAACTTGTGTCGATGTACAGGCTACAGACCCATTCTGGAAGGATACAGGACATTTGCTAAAGTAAGTGTCTTCAGATAACGTTTAAAAAAAATCTGGAAGGCTGGTTGTTTTTCCCTCTGCTACTGAAACACATCATGAGCTGAAAAGGGAAGGAGATATACATGCTGCAACAATGCAGCTCCAACTTTTGACCCCTTTGTATGTGCTTCATGCATTAATAATGCAAAAAGACTAACTCCTTCATTCACTCCAGTTACTGGAAGATGAACACTTGAGTAAAATCTACCTGATGGTCCCTTATTGGATCACGGGTAATCAGACTCTGTAATTCTATTCTGTAAGTCTCTAAAAAACTCACAATCTCTGCATAATACAGTTTGCAGATGATTCCTGATGTGGAAAAAGTTAAAGGTATGGTGCACTGGTAGGGACATGCTGTGGAGGAATCTGATGAGGAATTTGCTTGCTTGAAAGATCAGCTGCAGAGCTGGAATAGCTCTGAAAAGAAGCTGAAGTCACTGCTGTATAGCTCTTGTCCAGAATTATTCTGCTGGTTTGGGTGAGATATGAAGCTTTGCCATAAAATTTCTCTAGTCCCTTTTTACATGAAATACAGCTGAAGGCTGTGAAGAGAAGAGATCACTAGGTACTTCAGCGATTACTAGCCACTTGTGGGGCTACACTGGTATTAAATATCAAAAGGAAAGAATTTAGAATGATGCCCATTAATTTAATTTTATTATCCAGAATTGAGATCAACAAAAGATAATACAAACAAGACTGAGATCCACTACAAATGGCTGATAAACCCAGCTGATATAGCCTACTTGGATTTCCAACGGGCTTTCAACAGTGTCTCACCAAAGAGACAATAAAGAGCCGTATGGGGTAAGAGGGAAGAAATCAGTATGGATGAAAGATTGATTAAAAGGCAGGAAATGGCAGGTAGGAGAAAATGGTGTATTTTTGCAGTGGAGGGAGGTCAGTGTTGGAGTTCTGCTGGGACATGTGGTGGGAGCAAGGCTGTTGAAGGTATCCCTAAATGCTGTGGAAAAGAGCGTGAGTAGTGATGTGAGTTACCAAGTTAGTCTGGGTAGCGAAGGCAGGAACTGACTGAGGAATTTCAAAAGGATTTTATCAACCTGAGAGAATAGAATGGGATAAAAAATTGAGGGCAAATAAATGCAAAGCAATTTACAGAGTGAAATGCAGTTCTCATTTTGCATATAAAAAGACAGGCTGTGAGCAGACACAAGTTCATCTTCCTGTTACTACACAGAAAGATGATCTTGGGGGACAGATAAACAGTTTCATGTAAGCATGAGCTGAATGCTCGCTGATGGTGAGAACAGCACTTCAAAGGGTAGAGAACGAAACAGAAAACACTGCCATGATGTTTTCTGTATCATGGCTCTTCCTACACTTGAGTATTCTGTGCAGTTCTGCTCCTCTCATCCCTAACATGGTGTAGCAGAACAGGAGAAGATTCAGACAAGTGGAACAAGGATCACATCTGTGGTAATCTGACTTCCACACAGGGAAACACTGAGTAGTCTGGGACACTTCGGCCTGGAAAAGTGATGTCAGGGAGAGGAGGGGGCTCTATATAGCCCATATACTGGTTTATTTTGACCTCTGATAGAGATCTACAAAATTGTGACCGGCAGGTGGAATGTGGACAGGCATCTGCTGTTTGCTGCCTTTCCCAATACAAGAGCAATTCAAGAAATGAAACTAGTTGGAGTCAGGTTGAAAAAGAAGTCAGATCTTCTGCCTGGTGGTAGAGTACTAGGTATTGTATGTGCTTGTCACTTTTAGTCTTCTCTGGATGTCTCCTCACAACTCCAGCTGGAGCAGAGACACTGGTTGAATGAGAGCAGTTCTAGACCAGAACAAGAGGTCTGTCAGCAGAACAGGCATGACCCAGCCATCACACTGTGGGATATTGCCTTGCATTGCCAAGAGAAACATCTACTTGCTTGGCATCTTCCTTCTCTTGTTTCTGCTTTGGATATAATAGATGTGGAACCAATTTCCCTCAAAAGGGAATCAAGTCTACTTTATTTCCTTGGAATCTGCACATTTTTCTCAGAACAGTTTTTGTTCCCACAGGACATGAATTGCTGTGGTAGAGTTGCCAATGGCACTGGATGCTGTCGTAGTGGGAGGGAAAATAGCACGGTAAGCTGAATGTTAGAACCCATAACCTCAATTTTCAATATAATATTAGACCTTTGATGCATTAGCTACCTGTCTGGCTCTACTGTGGTGCAGATATTCAGAGCTCTCTGAGCTGTTTTCAATGTCTGTCTCTTGGAAAATGATGTGACTGTGTATGTCCTGACGAGCATGACTAGCCATCATGACACAGGTTTTACAATAGTGAGGCAGATAAGTTCCTTCTGAATCTACAAGGTGCAACATTTTTGCAAAATAGCATAGTGGTAACTGTTAGCAGCGTGCTACCATCTTCTGGTATAGTGAAGTGATCCATCTTCCTGTGAAAACAGATCCGAAAACTAGTTATTTCCCCAGTATGATCTTTCCCAAACTTTGCAGTTCAGTGATGAATGAAGTCATTTAATCTCTGTTCCAATAAACTCTGTAGTTGGAACCTTTTGGAATATCTGGAGCAAAAAAGTTAATCACATTTTATATGCCAGTCGAGGTACACACAATGAAGGAATGAAAACAAGGAATTGAGGAATAAGATAGAGTGAGTATGTAATGAATTTAGGAAAGAGAGAATATAGAGAAATTAATTGCCAGAAAATTCCAGTGAATTTCTGTGGTTTCTTTGTTAGGAAACATCCAGTGTTGCATGGAATACTCCAACAATAAGAATGCTAGGAGTTTTCTCATCCAAATAATCTCTAAATGGAAAAGGTTACTGCAAATTTCTGCAATCAAGGGATTGATAAAAGGGGAGGACTACATCCTGTAAAAATCAGAATGTTTTGACTTTATTTAAAATAGTTGAAATGTGTTTGTTTCTTCTTCAGAATGGGGGCTGCTGTGGAGGAAAAGCCAATGGTCCAGGCTGCTGCATGAATGGAAAAGAAGACAGTGTGGTAAGGTGCCTTTCAACTATTAGTTTTTTCTCTATTTCTGATATTTGTAAGTCTTAACTCTGGCTTGTTGTATGCCCAAGCCCAGTGCTTTTAATTTAGCTATATTTATGCAAAGCAGTTTAGACTATTTTATGGTCAGAAAAGCATACCTCAAAAAAGATATCTTTATGTAATTTAACGTGCCATGGTGAAAGGGCACTTTTGATTGACAAAAACATATTAGTGTTCAGGGTCGAGGTTTCAAACATGCATTGAAATTGGAATAAAAAGACTGAAGAACCTTAAGCACTGGATGAGGTGGCATCACTTCACTGGGTTTGCTATTCTTTGCTCCATGAAATAGTAACAAGGATTTGACTAGAAAGAGGAATGACTTTGGGTTCTATGTGGATAGCTTTGTCCTCTGCCACTAGCCACTTGCACTTTCTCTGTCATAGACAATGCTGTCCTCCAACCTGTTCAACTCTTCGGAGTTCCAGCCTTTGGACCCCACACAGGAGCCAATCTTCCCACCCGAGCTAATGGTAAGTTCATTCAAAAAGAAATAGTGTGTGATTTGTTGGTTTCATCGTTCTGCATGGGGTTTGAGTGACTCTGCCCTGAGGAAATGACGGGGCAAAAGGTGACTGCTGATAAAGGAAGATACATGGGCATGAATCCTTCCCTCTTTCATAAAACAGAAGGAGTTTAAGCCAGGGAGGCTTAAAAAATATGCAGGCCAGGTGTCTGCTCCACCTGTCTGGCTTTCCTCTCTGGTTCTCACTATACGTGTCTCTGATCTTGGGTTGCCTTCCTTTCTGGTCGCTGCCTGTCAAGGGGTGGAACAGTTGCAGGCATCTAAATTTCAATTTACTAGGTCATATGTGAAGCTCCACCTTAAATATAGATGTATCTGAGCTTATCCTTGTGCTCCCTTTATAGTGTAGGAAGGGCAGGAGGAGCTATGGGATGTAGCTGAATATATGTCTCAACTAGCTGACTTTCCGAAAGCATCAGCTTCTCTTCAGTCAGCATAGCAGGAGTAGAAGTTGGTTGGGTCACACTAACTTTAAAAGTTAGATGAGATCAGTTTTTCTCCATGTTTCATTGCTGTCTTTTTTGGGATATTTTCCCCTAAGCAATGCCTCCCAGCCAAGAATCTGATCCAGCACATGCCATGTTCACAGCTTCCTTCACATTTAACAAACAGCTGATATTAAGTCATTAATTCTGCTGCTGTACCCAGCCTAAATGTGTCATGAGTAGGTTCTCACAGACCATAGCATAACATGTATTAAGCTTGAGACAGGGCTCCTCTGTTTCTTCTCCAAGATGGTCTCCTGCCCAAGGGTTGATCTCATGTTGCTCTGAGGCAGACATGCAAGTCTATTTTCTTCAGTCACTGGAGGAAGGAGTTAAAAAGGGAATCAGAATCTGGCCTACCTGGTAGCTAAAATTCATCACTGCCGAAGACTGACATTTTTGGATTGAGGTGAGAATGGAAAACCCATTATTTGTAAGGTGGCTGAAGCCATGAGCATCTGCCAGAACTTTGGTCAGATGGAGCTTGCTGGCAGAGGTCTTGCCAGGGAGATGTGGCAGCAGGATGCACCTGGCAGTATCAGGAAGGGAGCACTTTTGTCAGCACAAAAAAGATTTTCGTCACTGCTAGCAGAAGGATGGGGAATGGCCAACTGCCAGCAACAGTGAGGATATCACAGCCACCTCTCAGTAACTTGACTGAGATGGAGCCTGGCCTGGCACAGGCATGGGCAGCATGTGAGCAGGATTCTTGGCTTGATGTAGGGTCTGAGCTCTATCTGAATTCACTTTTGCAGACTCAGAGGAACAAACAGCAGAAACAGATGTGTTTCAAAGGAGAGCGTGTGATGTGGATCCAGCCTACATCTCTCAAGGAATTGGTGGCTCTCAAATCCCAGTACCCCAATGCCAAACTCGTTGTGGGGAACACAGAAGTGGGTAAGAGAAAGAGCTGATACTCATTATGAGCAGTTGGAAAACTTTCCATGGAATATTTTGTGAAAACAGTGCAAATGCAAACTTCTCTCATGCCATTGCTGTTAAAAGCTGTTTAATTTTCAGGTTGTATATAGGAACAGATTTTTTTCTCAGGTAAATTAATCTCACAGTGAATGTTTTTCCCTGTGCTGGGCAAAAAAATTGCTAATCCAGATCTCTGAGCCTTTGTGCCATTTTGTGGAATTTTGAGAAGAGGGGAGTGACACAGCATAAAATATCTCTATAATCAAATGAATTCAGTTGTGAAACCTGTGTTTTGAAGGATTTTTCAGTGGGCAAACTCTTAAGACTTGAAATCTTATTGTTTGCTCACCCCAGATAGATACTTCTGCAAATATAAGTGCTGAGGAGGAGAGTTCAGGCATATTTAGTAATGCTGTTAGCCTGAGCAATTGGTTCAGGAGACAATCCCCAAACGCTGTATGGTCTATTATATTCACTGTTCTTTCCTGAAGGATTATGTACAACAATAACCACGTTACACAAGTACCAAAGAGTGTGTTTAAGGTTATTGTAAGATTAGGAAAGAGTCTCTAAAACTTCTCTATGAGAATTGTGATATTAGTGGAAAACAGCTTTTAGTTTGGTATGTCTGTGTCCTTAAATAATCTGTGTAACAGATGACAGACGAACTGACTCCTTGGTAGGCCTGCTTACATTTCATTGGGAAACAGCTAACTTAGGGTCTCTGTCACCCATGTGTAACTGAAGGAGCCTTACTTTTCCTTCAGGTATTGAGATGAGGTTAAAGAACTTGTTGTATCCAGTGATAATAGCACCAGCATGGATCCCTGAAATGAATGCTGTTCAGCACACTGAAACAGGTGAGCAAAAAAGAGGCAGAAAGCCTGTGAGCTGAGTGGGGACTCCGTGGAATAATAAACAGGTAAGAAGGAAAATCCTCAGATTAAAAACTGCAATCTGTATCCATTATGTCTTTCTCATGCAAGGAATTAAGTGAGGGATATGTAAAAAAAGTGAGCTGGGCTGTTCATGATGGAGAAAAGGATGCTCAGGGGTGACCTTATCGCTCTCTACAACTATCCAAAGGGAGGTTGTAGCCAGGTGGGCGTTGGTCTCTTCTCAGTGACAGAACAAGAGGAAATGGCCTCAAGATGCACAGGGAAGGTTCAGGTTGGACATCGGGAAGAATTTCTTCATTGAAAGGATGGCTAAGCATTGGAATGGGCTGCTCAGGGAGGTGATGGAATCGCCATCCCTGGAAGTGTTCAAGAAATGACTGGATGTAGCACTTTAATGCTATGCTTTAGCTGACATGGTGGTGTTCAGTTGGAGGCTGGACTCGATGATCTTGGAAGTATTTTCCAACTTTAATGATTCTATGATTCTATTGCCTTTATCTTCATGGTGGAAAAGGGTCAACCTTACAAATAGGTGCAATTAGGACAATGTAGTGCATGTGGCCCAGTGTCTGTTAGGATATTTGAAGTGTGGAAACTGGAAAGAAGTTGGAGTTCATTTCTCAAAGGACAAACTAATACCTATAGGAGGACAATATTGTTAATAATACCCTGAGGCAAAAGGATGGTGTGTTGTCATGTGAGAGAAAGCATCACCATGAGCTGTGATTTAAGGTGAATTCTGTTTTGAGGATGTGATGTTTACATGCAAAGCATGCTAAGTAGTTTTGTTTAACTGAAGGTCTAATTAAACTCAGTGGCATCTAAGCTTTGCAGACACAGTCACAACCATTCTCCTGTACTTTGACGTTTTGGAGGACAACAATTCTTTTCCATTGTTTGTTTCCAGGGGTCACCATCGGCGCTGCCTGTACCCTGCGCTCAGTAGAGGAGGTTATGAGAAAAGCAGTGGCAGAGCTTCCTCCATACAAAACCGAGGTCTTCCAGGCTGTCCTGGAACAGCTGCGGTGGTTTGCAGGGCCACAGATCAGGAATGTTGCTGTAAGTGGCTCAGGAGCACCAGGGACTGTGACTGGAAGCTCACTCTGAGGAGCTAGCCTGCCTCACCCAATGTTGGTGTGCCTTGTGCTTCTCACATAAGAACATTTGCAAACCTTGGCAAAGAAACTACTACACAAAAATCAGCCCCAGGAACTGACACCAGCTGGTGTCTGTGCTATACTGATGTCACAGATCTAGCAAGCAAGGGAAACATGGCAGTTGTTCAGGTTTTCCATTGCTGTTATCAGCAAGTGGGAGAAACTGTAGTGAGATTTGACTAATTTAACAAAAATGTATTTAGGCTGCTGGACAAACTTCAAAGAAGCAGGTGTGTTTATTACTGCCAGCACAGCCGTGATAGTCACAGTATTAATGCATCAGATTTGGCAAATTCTCCTCTAGTTTTAAAGGGGAAGGTTCAAACTCTGTATATTATAAGAAAAAAACCCTCAAAACAAGCAAGCAGGTAAACCAATCTACCAAACATGAAATTTTGTTCCATGAGATACTGTGCCGTACAGTGGTATTCCAGGCAAAAAACTTGGGTTCCTGTTTGTTACTGAAAAAATGCTTTATAGTTTCATGGATCTTCCCTTAATGGCAGCTACAGTGATTGAATTTCGGCATTGTTGTGCACATGAGGTTTGAGTGTAAGGCAGTTATGATGCATTAATAAAACACTGCTCTGTTTCAGGCAAATGTAAATATTCACTGGGACAGCAAATAACTTCATGGCGCTTAGGTTTTCCCCCTTAATTAGAGGCCTAAAATTGCTAAGATTTTTAATATTTATCTAATGCATTATCATCTCTCTAGGCTCTTGGTGGGAACATAATGACAGCAAGCCCAATTTCTGATTTAAATCCTGTGTTAATGGCAAGTGGAAGCAAATTGACTCTGGTATCAAAAGGTAAGTTACTTACATTTCCGGGTGGCACTGAGGGGAGTGGGATAATCAACACCCCTCTGCTATGGGTTGTTATGTCAGGTCAGAACTTGAAAATGGAAGTTAGCATTATCTAAAATAGGCTTAGTCTGAGTCTTCAGGGGTTTCACCCTTTTTGAGGCTGAAGTCCTAAAACTAGGCCTAAGTTTGGCTTTTTAAAGAATTTTGAACTTCTGTGCCAGATTTTATCTCTGATGCTGTGTATGTACTTACAGGTACATCCTTGTGAAGAGCTGTTTGAAGATGTCTATTATGCATGAAATAGTTTCTGTCACTGTCGTACTTTGATCCTTATGGTTTATTCATATAAAGACTGAGGCTTATTTTGTTTTGTTTTTCTATGAATAAAGGCAAACATCTCAGTTTTTATTTGCTCTTAGGAATAATTTTTTTGAAATAGGATCCTTGAAGTAAGTGGACTGTCTGGTCAGTGAACCGACATTCTCTTGTGCTGGTTTGTGTGGAGGCTGTGGAAAGGAGAAAGAGAGGATTTCATTGGGGTATTGGAAACTGGTTCACCTGGAGGCTCAGCTTTAATTAGATCAAGAAGGAAGGAGGTGCCTTTGATCACTGCCTGTGCATAGAAAACTTAATACGTAGGCAGAAGCTGTCATAGATTCCATAAATACCAAAGTTAATCTGAGAAAACCTTTCCTGATTTGGTGAAAGAGGGTGGAAAAATGAAAACATATTGATATCAAGAGTGATTTGTGTAGGTTGAAGGCTCTTTTGCATTTACTATTGCCATTCTTCATTCACCCACCATTGATATTTCTTTGCTCTACAGAGGGCAAAAGGACTATCACGATGGATGAAAAGTTTTTCACTGGGTACAGAAAGACAGTAGTTAAGCCTGAAGAAATACTTCTCTCTGTCGAAATACCCTACAGCAAGAAGGTAAGCTTGTAGGAAAAAACTTTACTGTCCACAGAGCTAAAATGCTGTTAATTGAGAGTTATTTTCCATGTTAGGCACTTTTTCCCTGACCAACCTCCAAATGCTTATGCAGTCCCAAGTGGACCAACAGACAAGTAAATGATTTGTAGAAAAACTAGCAACACACTATTTTTGACAAGCAAGGGAAGCTGGTCTCTATGATAAAGTACGGTAAGCTCAAGAAGTTTTCTGGTGTGAGAAATATAAATTTCACTTTATTGTCTGAAGGTTTTTGAGTGCATTCAGTAATGACAAAATGCAACAAAGTGATGTTCCCAGAGGTATAAGTTCTGTTTGAAAAACAGTACAGCAAAGATTTTAGCAGTTCCTGACATAAAGTGAAGTTAAGGTTCCCAAGGCTCCTGCTTAATTTCTGTGAACCAAAATGGGAAAAGAAATTGTAAAAAGTGTGTATGGATAAAAGGGAAATTCAGTTTCTGCATCCTTGCCTTGCAAGATGGAAACCACAAGGACTGGTTTTTAGGGCATTTTGGCAATGCAGACTTGCAACTTCAAATGAACCTGAAAAACTTTCTTCAGACAGAAAAATGAATGCTTTTCTGCTGTAGCAGCATGAACCTTGACTGATTTAGAGTGTCTGAGAGGTAAAACTCTCTTTTTTTACTCTAGGGCTTAGAACACCAGACTATAATTTTATGCTTGTGAATGTATTTACCTTTTTAGGGCTCAAGGCCCCAGGTTATAAGATGCAAGGATTCACGGTGTAGTGACACATATTCTTTATAAATGAAAAACCACTGATTTACTCGAAATGCTATCATATTATGGGATAGAACCAATAAATCCTTTGTCTGTGCTCTCAGATTTTGCTATGTAACTACTAAGGGAACACAAGTGGGGTTTTTTATGCTATTTTCCACTTATTTTTTAAGTGTTCCTTCTTTGGTCTCGTGATAATTGCAGGAAACATCACTTCTTGCCAAAATGAGGAACACACTTGAGGCAGTCAATGGAAAACTACATGTTCCTTCATCCATATGACAGTCATAGAGCAATTTCACAAAACACACAAATTTTTACAGGCACAGTGGCTTCATCCCTAGGTCATACGCAGCTCATTGATCTGAAAAACTAAAACAACTTTTGAACTCTGCCTCATGGTTTCTTGGCTGATCTTTGCCCACAGTCAGGGAGACTAAAGTTCTTCAGGGTATGTCTGAAGCTGCTGGTATATGGCAGGCAAAGTTTTCTGCAACTGTGATTTCCTCACAAATGGGAGTAGGGCTGTGTCAGCACACAACTAGACAAATTTTTTTACTTTATGTTTGTTTAAAATTAATGTTACGTCTTCCATTGATGTAACATGTCACAACAAGGATAAGACTGGCTAAACCCCAGAAACAATTTAACTAAAAAATTTAGAAGTTTACACAATTCGGTGTTACTGCAGGGGATTTGAGCTTAGGGTAGGCTTAATCACAGAGAGGCTATTAAGGGAGAGGAGGCAACACCTTTTTCCCCTGCTAATTTGTGTGTCAGATATTTAAGATATTCAGAGAATAAAGATTTTTGAATCTATACTTGTAAGGCAATTACAGCTGAGGAAAGACAGTACTAGGAAAGAAAATAGCTTCCAGGATTAAAGATAAAATATAAACAGATTCCAGAAAAGAAAACTGCTTAGCTTTTTGTGTACAACAAGACATTCCTAAAACAGGACATGTCCTTTATGTAACAACCCTCTTTCTCTTTTGGACTATAAAAACATTCCTTTCAGATAATGTTCACAAATATTATGCACCACTTGCATCATTACTCACCTAGTGACCATCAGTTTCTCATGTACTTTTACTTTATACATGTTTTATACATCTTTCTCTACTGCAGTTATCACTGTCATTTAATTTTTATGATAACAGTATTTTGTACCACCTAGACATTTACTGCTTTTCAAATAGAAGAAGCCTGGAAATGCAATACTTAAATATTTCTGTCTTTGGAAATGAATCGTAACCTACTGTTTGCTCAGTACTGCCATCATAGGCTCATGGTATCACAATTTTTGCCCTGCTGAAGAGACAGAAAGTGGTAATGAAATCTTATTTCCTCCTTTAATTTAGTATCCTCTAGCCTTCATTCATTATTGATCTTTACATTCCATGGTGATGGGCTGAAGAAATTGTGTATGTTGCCTATGAATCTTTTAGGGCCTGTGGATTTCTTAATGTTTTCCTTTCTGGTATTGCATCTTGTCCAGAAAAGGAAAGGGGATGCTGGTCTAGGTCCTTAATATGCAGTCCTTAAGAGTAAGGGTTATTTTGCTTTCCTGTGAGAATAACCAACACCTAGAAACTTTTACTGTGATAGTTTAGATGCTCTGTTGTTTCACCAAGAGGTAGGGCATACATGAGAGGCTGATTTGATGATTACCTTACCTACACTCCCAGTGAGGAAAAATAGCAAGTGCCTTTCCTCCCACTCTGGAGTCTGTACCAAGAAAATTATGGTGCTTTGTGAGGAGTGAAGGCAAATATTGTTCTCTTATTGCAATCATGTTATTGGAAATCTCTTAAGTATGTAGTAAGAGAAGAGGCTCCTTTTTTTCCTCTTTGAAAGCTAATTGTTTTCACAAGTAGAGTGGCAGAATGTCCTTGCTGGGAGGATGCTGCTGATGCTCCTCTGCTATTATTTGCAGGCTGCCAAGTAATTACTTGAATTCAGTAAATGAAACACACCCTCCAGTTATCTCTCCAGTAACAAGTCCTCAATGCACAAAAGGGACTACTTGTGAAACTGTTCTCATTGTCAACAGTAGAGAAATTGTTCTTTACAATAATGAAAGAATTGCCGTCCACTTCTGATTAATTAATGGAACAGACTGCTGTGCTGTGCAGAATCACTTGGCTAAGCTATTAGAGATGAAACTTGTCAGAAAACTCTCCAGAAGAGCTGTGCAAAAACATCAGATCTGATTCCCCTCTTGGTCTGCAGGATGCCTGAGCAGCAATTCATTGTAATCTGCAGCACAGGCAAGGGGATTGACCATACCATGACTCCAGGGTGACACTGCTAGTCAGTGTATACTGGTGGAGTGTTAATCTCTTATCTACTGGCACTTTTCATAGGACAGCTTCTGGGTTTTGTGATTTGGAGTTGCTGGTGCATTTACAAGAATTTCCTCACTCTACTGAGACCAGCAGAGGATTCAGGATAGTAACTGGGAATTGTATTTGCAGTAACAGATTGAAATTGTCTTATATTAATTAATCTGGTCTATCCTAGAACTGAGAAACATTTGTTGTTATGGATTTCAGTTCTTGCAGAGTTTGATGACTTCTGAAAGGAAGGGGTTTAGGATATGAGTTTTACTGATTAGACTTGCAGCTTAGCAGACTGGGAGAAAGAAAAAGTTGCTGAGAAACTGTAATCTTGTTTATGTACAAGCAGTCTGTCCTGGTTCTTCCTCTAAAGATATGGAAAAAATTGTGATGGATATGAGCAGATTTCCATCAAAGTTCACTTTCCCCACAGTCCTAGGCTGGCCATTAACCATGGATCTAATACTGGAATCAATCATTGCATCACGTGAAAATATACAGTTCTGCCTGAACAAACATGTCCTACTTGGCCCTGCATGATGAATCAACCAGATACAGTTTCCTGGAACAGCTCATCCATGTAGAGATAGATTAATAGCTTGCCAATATTTATACTCCAAAGCATGCCAAGGTAGAGAATAAATAAATATTTTCTTGTCTTCTAGGGTGAATACTTCTCAGCTTTCAAGCAGGCTTCCCGTCGTGAAGATGACATTGCTATTGTGACCTGTGGGATGAGAGTCCTGTTCCAAGATGGCACTAGCCGGGTGGAGGAGATAAAACTAAGCTATGGAGGAATGGCTCCTACAACTGTCCTGGCACTAAAAACTTGCAAGGAGCTCACTGGCAGGTAGGATTTTTTCTGTGATAGAAAAGCTGTGTAATGGAACGGTTCTGATTTTTTCCAGGAGCAGTTCAAATAACCTAAATCATCTCTAACAGTACACAGAAGGAGAAAAGGGAAGAAGTGTAGCTACACTTCTGCAGCAGTGTGTGTTCTGTGTGATGCCTTGCTTCCTCCAGTACTCTTTACTCTCAAAGATTCATGTAATTCTCTTGTTCAGAGAGCCATTGTCTTGCCAAATTCTCTCATCTGTTGAAGTGGACAGAAGCTGGATGTAGGCACGACCTAGAAAACTGGGTTTATCTCAAACTGGACTGAGAAATCCATGCTGTTATCATTTAATAGCTTTACTACATCTTTGGAAAAGGTGACATAAGCCCAAGATGAAAACAAAGCACACAAATATACTATAAGCAGATAGAACACATGGCTGTTGCTTGAAAGCTTGTGGGAATGCCATGAAGCTGTGTCAGGGTAGGCTTAGGTTAGATATTAGGAAAGAGGTTCTTCACCCAGAGGGTGGTTGGGTACTGGCACGCCAGGGAAATGGTCACAGCACCAAGCCTGACAGAGTTCAAGAAGCATTTGGATGATACTCTCAGGCACACGGTGTGATTCTTGGTGTGTCCTCTGTAAGCTGGACTTCAATGATCCTTGTGAGCCCCCTCCAACTCAGGAGATTCTCTAAGTCAGAAGAGTTAGTCTGCCCTGGTGATGTTTAGGGCTGAGCAAGGGCTCTGTGTCACCTTTGTTCCTTTGCAGAGACTGGAATGAGAAGCTGCTGCAGGATGCCTGCCGCTTACTGGCGGGTGAGATGGATTTGTCTCCCTCTGCCCCTGGTGGGATGGTGGATTTCCGACGCACACTCACCCTCAGCTTCTTCTTCAAGTTCTACCTGACAGTCCTTCAGAAACTGAGCAAGAACCTCAATGGCACTGTAAGTGCTGCTAGGGAAGGCAGATTTGGGGGAGGGGGACCAGTTTGTGCTGTCTTGGTGGGGAAGGCCTGGGGAGGGGTCAGATTCAAGCAGAGTTGTACCCGAAAACAAAATCCATGTTGCAATAGCTGCCAGAGCTACTCTACTCCTCACCTCCATGTAAGTACAGTGTATCTTCCCACTTATTTCCTCGTGGCATCCTCACCTTGTTGTGGAACGATGCTGCTCTGTAGGTTCACAGGATGATTCCTGGACTTTGCCCGTTGGTTGCATTACAACCAGTCTTGTGGTTCTATGGCTATTCTTTGCACAGAGCCTGAGCCTTGTTTGCCTTTCACTCAGTAGAATATGAATTATCTTAACTGGAAGATGGAGAAGGGAAAAAATCCTGGGCTACTAGGGAATGTGAGAAAGGAATTGGCAGGGAAGATGATTTTCTTTAATATGTCTCTAGCAGAAAAATCTGTGTGAGCCCATCCCTTCAAACTACATCAGTGCTACAGAGCTGTTTCACAAAGATCCCATTGCAAATGCCCAGCTCTTCCAAGTAAGTAGCGACTTTTCCAAGTAAGTAGCAGTGTTAACATGATGTAGACTCGGGTTTTTCTGTAGCTCAAACTGTGCTTCTTATCTTTTTGTCTCCCTGAGTATGGTCATTACATAAACTTAAATAAAGCCGTGCTTGAAATTTGTGTCTGGGCCTTAGTCCCTTCCTCACTGTAGGATACAATGTTCTTTCCTATTATTACCCAAGACAATTGCTGATGTGTACAGCTTCATAAACATCACTTTTCCTCCTGCAGCCAGCTCCATGTCCAAACTGAAATTCCCTTTCTGCTTTTCCCAGTTAGAGTCTACCTCTCTTTGAATCTCTCAGGCTTCAGATTCAGCACATATCTTCTTTTTTATTTCTCTGTTAGTGACCTGTTCTCTTCAGCTTTGAGAGTAGGATCCAGCTTCAGAACTTGAACCCTCTAAGCAAGCTGTCAAATCAAATCCTTCTCTTCCACAGAAATTTCAAAATCCAAATCCCTTCCGCTTCATTCTCTGCAGCTCCCTTCTGCAGCACATCTTGTGGCACCTTGTTTACCTTCCTTTCCCACAGGACCGAGCACCCATCCCGTTCCCCATCTCACTAGAATGTTTCACAGTGCCTTTTGCTCTCCCATCAATGCTTCCACCTCCTGCAATCTAAGCCAGTAGCCTTGTGTTTTACTGCAGGAAGTGCCCAGGGGACAGGCAGTTGAAGATATGGTGGGACGGCCCTTGATGCACGTTTCGGCAGCCAAACAAGCAAGTGGAGAAGCTGTTTACTGCGATGACATCCCTCACTACGAGAATGAGCTGTATCTAACGCTGGTGACCAGCACCAAAGCCCACGCTAAGATCCTGTAAGTGTTGCTCTGGAGTTTCAGATGTTGGAAGTATTCGGTGCCTGGTGGCTTAGAAAACACTGATCTGTCAAGCTGTGGGTGGGGGGAAGGTTTTTTCTTAGGTGAGATCTCCAGTTCATTGCACATTGCTACGTGGGGCGAGCTGTATGTGTTACAGCTGCCTTGCAAGTCTGCTTCAGTGGGAAAAAAGGGGAATTAACAACAAACTTTGGGCTTTGCTGAAGCACAAACCCCTCCACCCTAGACACCTTTTTGCATTTCTCATCTCATATTCAAGCATGCAGAATTATAAAGGAGCAGGGTAGAAGAGCACCGCAGTGTCTGATGTCATTTTAATCACTAAGAGGAGCATGCAGCTTGAAAATTCTCTTTCCTATCAGCCTAAAAAGCTGTAACGTGCAGTTCTATCAGCACTGCTGCTGGTGAGTCAGCTGTGTGCACTGTCTTCTGTTTTTTGCCTTACACAGTCTGCACTGGCTGTGATCAAGCCTTCTGCACAACAGTTGTAGGTGAGTTGGATTCTATAAATGTAGAGCTGTTAGTGCTTGGCTGTAGCAAGGTGGACAAGTCAGTATTTGGAAGTGCAGGTATATCTGAAAACATATCCACCCAGGGCAAGACTGATACATAATTTATAACAATAGTGACTAACCAACTCCAAAAAGCCAATCCTGGCAGGTAATGCCATCTAAATTCTCATATGACTTTTAACTGCGGGACTGACTGCCTCCCACAAACCCCAATTTCGTTTACATGGTGGTGGCTCTGCAGGCTCTTGTTTGCCCTCGACTGCTTTGATGTGGGACACTCCGTGTTACATTGCCTCATGTCATCCTCAATAGCCTTGCGATGTGCTGTTCATTCCTTAGGCAATACTTCCTGCCTATTTAGGCTTCCTGCCCAGAGGTTTCCCACAGTGGTCTAACATGGGATGGGCAGCATGGTGGTCATGGATGCAGAGATGTAGTAGTTGACTCCCAGGTTATGAAAGAAATTGCTCTGTCATCATAGTTAAATTTTAGGTGTTGCAATGTGGTCATTGTTGAGTGCTGCAAGCACTCAAGTATTGTTACTACTACCAGTGCAGATGGGGTGATAGAGAAAGCATCAGATCCATGCCTGTGACCACAGTATGCAGTGTTTTCTAGGGGTTGTTGTATACATTCTCTTGCATTTGCATTGTGCACACATATTTCAAGCCTTTATTATTCTGTAGAGGAAGTAGTAGAACATTTAGAGGACAGAATTATCTCAACCTATGATTTTGGCAGTCAAAATATTGACTCTGAAAACTTCCACTTCACCAAGTCAGATTTGGATCACCAATGTAAATCAAACATCATCTGCCTCTGTATTTGTAACTAAGGGGAAGTGTCAGGGGATTGTTTCTGAGGCATTACAGCAGAAGCACGGGAAAGTGAACTTGCCAAAGAAAAATAGCATTGTCTTCAGTTCCTGCTCTCTAAGGGTTCGTGTGGGAAAGTTCATTCCCACATTTAATGTCTTTTTAAAAAAAGGCTGTATCTCACTGGGATGCATAAACAGCTACTTTCTAGCACAGTTTGTATTGGAGTTTCAGAAATATAAACAAGCTGCTGAAAGAATTGCAGCAATTTACAGAAGACAATAAATCATTCAGTTAGCAAAAATAAAGGCACAGCTTTTCTATTTGCAACTGTTCCCTTGTAAAGGAAGACAATTATATAGCCAATGTACAAAAAATTGCGAAAGGAGCATGAAAGTCTTTTGTAATACATATTTTACTAAGCTCCCCTATAACAATTAAATTATGTTGCTCTTTTATAGTCACTGAGTTTTAAATCTGTATATGATTCAAGCAGACAAGAATTTTGGTTAGATACCTCTTTTGCTGATTGCCAAAGAAGCCTTTCATGAAGCTTTTTGTCTTTTGGAACATAATTTCTTTGGCATCCTTTTAAAAACCCTGCAGCTTCCTTGTGATTAATACTCAACAATTTCTCCCTGACTCACAGACACATTTTCTTGTAGTGGTGAATCCATTGGTAGATGATATGTATTTGCACTAAAATTTCATGTTTATGAATAGACAGGGAGGAATCTTGCATTCACAGAATCATGGCAGCTACAAAGACAGTGGAGGCAAAGTATCACTAATATCCATTTTTCTTTGGCAAAGGGTGTCAAGGGAACTTTAGTACACCTGGCCATTGGATCAAGTTCAGATATGTTTTAGCTAAAAGCTGTATGGTATGATACAGTCCAAAGAAGCAGACTGGTGATCAGACTCACAGTCAGGATTCACAATATCATATACATTCAAAATTTTTTTAATCTAGTATGTTAGCCTTTCTGCCTTGGTCTCACATGACATTCATGTAGCATAACCAAACTTCAGGGAATCAGCCTGAATATGTATGGGAATCTCGTAAGTGCTGACACAAAGAAAAAAGAGAATTAACACTACCTCTCCTCTCTTTAGTTCTGTAGATGCATCTGAAGCTCAGAGTGTTCCTGGGTTTGTGTGTTTTGTCTCTGCCAAGGATGTTCCTGGCAGTAACATCACTGGCATCGCTAACGACGAGACTGTCTTTGCTGAAGATGTGGTATGTGGTTAAAAATAGCCTTTTCAATCATGTTGGTCAGGAGATAAGATTTCTCATATTGTCCAGTGAAGTCCTGTACCTTATATAGAGATAAATTCTAACTGCACTGGGGTCAATAGAAATCTCGGTGCCAAATTCAATAAAGCCTGAGTCCCTTTGCCCTGTGCCTCTCTCCTTTGTGTTATCTGCATGATTCTTCTCTAAGCTGCAGCCAACTGGAGCAGGCTCCCTCATTCAGTTGCTCTCCAAATTTGTTTATGATTGTTTTCCCTGGACTTGTTTTAACTAGACTGTTCTGAAAGAACAGATAAAAATCTACACAAAAGGAATCGATAAATGAGCCTCTCAGTTACTGCATATATCCACACCAAATCATGGTGTGTCCTCATCTTGCCTGTAGGTCACTTGTGTTGGTCATATCATCGGTGCAGTCCTTGCAGACACACAGGAACATTCCAGAAGAGCAGCAAAAGCTGTGAAGATTAAGTATGAAGAACTTAAACCTATTGTCACAATTCAGGTAAGATGGCTCAGTTCTGCATCTGCAGTTGGCTTGGGACCCCCGATGTCTAGTTCTGTTCTCACGCTTGCGGTTATTTAACCACATGTTTTGTTTGTCTTTGCGGGTGCAACACGATATGGACAGAAAGAATAATTTATGTATTTAAATATAAAGAAGACACATCTTTGACGTCCCACTGATTTAGAGTACATTAAGTCATTTTGTGTTATTTAAAGCTGAAACAAATAAACCAAACTTGGGTAGATAGATTGTGATCAGCACAAATTTGTTTGAATTAACAAGGTTACTGTAGTGTACATTCTTACTCACAGATCCTTGCTTTTAATATTCTCCAACCCTGCTGGCTTCATTGATATCCATTCATTCTTCACTCCTTCATTTATAGCAGTCAATAATAGGGTGTGAAAATGTCTTTTCCAGTCCTGTCACTGCACTATTTCTGTGAGATTTCTGCAGATCACTTGTCTAGTTTCTAAGCTCATGAAATTAATTTTCAGGAGTTCATTCCCCACTGCGAACATTTCCACTGACTTTATGGACACAACCCTTAAATGGCTTTTCTCAAAACTGAAGAAATTCATGTCAACAATTTGTGATAATTTCATGGGTTTTTTTTTTCAACTAGAAGATTTGTTGACAAGATTTCCTTGAGACAGTAAAGACAAATTATAATATCTATACAGCATTCATATCTAGAATTGAGAAAAAAAAGGTATGAAGCCATTCTTATTGTGGACCAATTAGAACCACGGGATTCTAGCTAATTTTTTTTGATAGTATTTCGTACCATGTGTTTTGTAATGTGAATTGTATTCATGCAAATACAGAGTCTGTGCATTGTCTTGGACAGACTTTGGTACTACCATCTGAGGACAGAGATTTTGGGTTGTTTGTATGATTTCTGGATTCACAAACAATGTGTGAGAACTTTTCCTTTTCTGAGGCTTCCAGTTGTTTATTCAACCAGGGAAGATAAGAGTGGAGCCAAAAATGTGCTGATTTTTTTTTTGGTTTTGTTATTCAATCATTCTCTGTTTTTTTTTTTTTTTTTTTTTTTTTTGTTATGGAAAGCTTCAGTTTTGTCAAAAGAAAAATGCCTTTGTAAAACATGTCCAAGAAAGATTATTGTATATTATCTCAGAAGTGAACTATTTCTGCAGAAGTTCTCATCTTATCTGAGAGACTCAGTTTTCTCTTTCTCTCATTTTCTTTTTTTTTCTTTCTCTTTTCTTTTTTTCCTTATTTTCCTTTCCCCCAGCTTTTGGGTCACACAGTCAATATAAGTTGTAAATTACAGCTCCTATGGCTACAGACCTTGAGGTCCTGTGTCCGTAATGTAAAATGGGTCACGAGGAGCAATCTAAGATTGTCCAATTATGGTATTCATTGTGAAACTGCCATGTTGCCAAAAGTTATTTTGTACTGCTTTTAGTCAAGTCTCTTTTGACTATTACCATAGTTAGTATCTGATAAGTTCTTGTGCTTTTTATGTTGGATATTTCTTCTTCAGTCAGAGGAAGTCTGATTTCACTCCTCTTACACTAGAATATCATTGTATCATTCTGTTTCCTAGGAAGCTATTGAGAGACAATCCTTTTTTAAGTCTATAAAGAGGATTAATAAGGGAGATGTGAAGAAAGGATTTGAAGAATCTGATCACATTTTGGAAGGTGAGAATAAGCATTAATACTGCTTTTAAAATAGGATAGTTTGTGTGAAAAGAAGTCATCACCCTCCTTTTTATGCATATAACATTGAAAGTAAGGCTTGCAGGACTAAATTAATTTTATATAAAGTTTCAATCTTACATACAAATAGTTCATGCAAGATTTAATCCAGTTTCAAATAGACTTGGATGCTCTGAGCTGTGCCCCTGTAAACACTTTCTTCCAATGTAAGGACACATTTTTCTTAAGCAAATATTCTACAAAGTGATTTTTTTTTTCTGAAATGTTTCCATACAGGAGCTTTCTCCTGTCCAGACATAGTCTTGTCTAAATCTTACAGACAGCCAATTAATCTGGTATACAACTGTATCTTAGGAAAATGAGATTTGCCTGTGGCTGTGGGTATCATGAAGAACATGGCACTGCTCTGTAGCACTTTCTCACCACTGATTGTTGGTCTGTCTTTGAGGACAGGGTTTTTTTAGTGTGCTGCTTGGTTTTGCTTAGTTGGAGTCTGCCAAGGACGCTGTAGAGACATGGGTAAACACAGAAATTATCAGGAGATAAAGATTTAAAATCTCTGTCAGTTAAGAGGGGAGAGTGACAGAGCTGTGAACTGAAGTAGTCAGTGGGAGCCATGTCATTGCTTGTATGTGTTTGTATCACCAATGAATAGCTTCTGTGAGGACAAGTCTTAAACATCAGACTTTTGGAAAGCTATGTTCTTACTGATGGTGTTGTTCTTGAGGGTGTTGTATACCTTTTAGAGCTCTGAAAGGGAAGTTAAATCAGTTAAAGACACCAAGCCTGGTGTGAAGGGATTATTCTCTAAGATCACGGAGAAATATGCCCCCCTTACCCTCCATTGGGAAAGTGGGGAATTATTTAAGTGAAACACCCCATTTTCAGGTCTGTCTTTCGCTGTTTTTTTGCTGTTCATTACTACGACTCCCCTCCTGCAGTCAGCCGAGCTTCAAAGGTGCTGGCACTTCCAAGGTGTCATAAGCTGTTGTTAGCAGTTTCTTATAGTGTACTTTTCTATACAAAATAAAAAGGCTGTGCTAGAAAAGCCAGAAATTGTTCTGAGCTAAAAGAATAGTTTATTTGAAAGGCTATAATACTGTGTGAATGCCAGAGCCCTCAAGAAGACAAGAGAAAGGCCCCTGCTACATACCAGAGTAGGTGTTGTCTCAACAAATGTACATTTCTCACCTAATAAAGGCAGCTATTTTGTTTCTTCTGAATTTTGAACAAAAAGAAAAGAGAAACAGGATTGTGAGAACTGCTGTGAATATTAATTTTCATGCCAGTTGAATATGCCAGAGCCATGACTGAGAAAGAAGGTCGATTCTGACATTTAATGGTGTGTAGCATAACCGGATATTGCACCCTTAGCACTGCCAGGTAGTATGTCCTGGGAAAGAGCCCCATGCAGTGATATTGATTCCCAGAGAGATCATTTTAAGGCATTTTGGGTTTCTATTTTGGTTCCTCTGTTTCAAAGTCTGTAACCTTGTATTTGATCTGCTCAGCTAGATTGTACTTGATTTATTTTTATCCTTAATCTCAGTGATGTTATCAGGGCAGTCCTGAAATGCCACCCACTTGTGTTTTAGAATGAAGATTTCTAGAAAGTTGATGTGTTTGTGGTTGATTTTTTTTCGTTTGTTTGTGGGTTGTTTTGTTTTGTTTTCCATTTTGCTTTTTAAATGTCAAACCAGAATTGCCAGTTTTAGAGCTACTAGTATCCAGTTGTGGGCAGTGGAACAGGCTGTCATTTAGCACATGTCAAAAAGGCAGTAGATAGCAGACAGCACATGATGGGAGACACCCTGTAACACCAGGGATGCCCTGTCTCTGGGGCATTTGTTTCAATTTTCTAGGAGAGATGTACCTTGGTGGCCAGGAGCATTTCTATCTGGAAACTCACTGTACTCTGGCTGTGCCAAAGGGAGAAGATGGTGAGATGGAACTCTTTGTGTCAACTCAAAATCCAATGAAGACACAGGTACTGTCTCATTAACCTGCTACCTAAAAGGCACATGTTTCTCAGTTTCAGACTAGATAAATTGTTGGCTTTTAGTAGCTCCTATCTTGTTCAATAAAAAAACCACCACATAGGCTCAGAGTTGGGTATGGGATCTAAAGTCCATATGCATCCTACTGGTGTCCTGAGTCTGCTTCCAAGTGACAGACATGTTTCTGTTGGCAACATGTCTTTTGCAAGGGGGATTACATGCTTAACCCTTTCTGCAGAGAGAGCCAACTGGTCAGTAGGCATGATGGTTGAATGACATGTGAGAAAGAGAGGTGGTGTAAACACTGACTCTATACACCAACTCTCCCTTTCTGTGGGATAGGGCACCAGTGCTGTGGAATGTCCAAAGGTCTCATAATAGAGCGAAAGAAAGGACAGAGTGGTACAGATGTCAAACTCAGTGCTAAATGAGATCTATGTCTTGACTGCCTCATACCATGCCAGTCTCTTCCTGCCTGCTGCAGCACTGTGCCTTCCCACCTCAGAGACGAAATGCTGGTCTTATTGGTTCCAATTGCATCAAATCCAATTAGCGGACCATAGGACCAGGAATGAGACAGAATATTTGCACTGTTGAAATGGTTTCAGAAAGGCAAAGTGTTGGTATCTAGTTCTTAACACCAGCTCAGCTTCCTACACGTTCTGCTGTTCTGTTTTTCTTTAGGAGTTTACTGCTAATGCATTGGGAGTCCCTTCGAATCGTGTTGTGGTTCGAGTGAAAAGAATGGGAGGAGGATTTGGAGGAAAAGAGACTAGGAGTACTATCTTGACAACTGTAGTGGCTGTTGCAGCCTTCAAGTAAGTTTGGGTGTGGGGGACAGGACTTTTTTCTTTCAGACTGTCCCAGCCTGCCTCTTTCTGGAGCACCATTTACACTGAAGCACCTTCAAGACTCTTCATGTCTTGTACGGCTTATAGCAAGTTTGATATTTCCCAAAGGCTCTTAGTTGGTAGGAGGGATTGAACCTACTCAGGGGTAATAAGCTCAAGTGGGAATGTCAGCTTTTAATAGGAAAGGGGAAAACCCCCCTTACTCTGCTATTCCTTTGGTGATCTCTGAAAACACTTGTATCTCAAATTATCTGCCTCTCCCTTTCACTTCATCCCAAACAAATTTCAAAATCCAGCAATAGCCATGCTTATTGCTTCATATAATAGTGGAATGAGACTCTCTTCCTTGTTCAAAACTCTACTACACCACCCTTTCACCACTGTTTCTCTGCTCTTCTGCAAACTCCCTCTTTGGATTTTTCTCTAGGAAAAGTGGCAGGCCTTGGAACCCACACTTTTCAAACCCCTAAAAGCTCAGGGAATGAACATAGACTGTAACAATTTGTGAAGAATAGATTAGAAATATGCTTCTGGTTTCTGGAGTTTTGGTCTTAGCTCATCTTTAACTGTGCAAGTTTCTGTGGTTGTGAGTGAATAGGACCTCTAATATGACATTTGTGCTGTGTGTAGTGCTGTAGTGCTGCCCTTCCCAGTATTGCCCTTGGAGGTGACCATGAACCTTGCTGGCAATGCTAGAGGGATCTTGCAACACAGCAGCAATTTTGACAAAATACCTTTGGAGGAGAATAGCCAAAATGAAGTTCTTTACTTCTGTTCTGAGCAAACCACCTGCTTTCTCTAATTAATCAGTAATACATTTGCATTCTTTTATTTCCTTTATCTCTGCCAGCCAAACCACTGTTTGATATCCTGGAGGTTGCAAAATAACATCTATGACATTCCCTAGGTGTTTTTACAACCTGAAGAGAGGCACTGGAAAGGCAAAATTGTTAGACAATAAAGAGCAACTCCCACTCTCCTTATTGTTTTCCTCCTTGGATAACAAATAAGCAAACATAAAATAAGGTCACATTGAAGGCTAGTTAGTACTTTACTTCACATTATTATATAATTCCTATGGCATCCTCTTTTTCAAAGCCAAAAGAGTGTCTTGAGAAATAGTCTGGAAAACAATGATTGCTCAGTTATTAGCATCTGCCTCTGTAAGAAATTATCCTTCTTTTTAATACAAGGATCTTTGCAAGAGTTTTCATGAGCAGACTCCAACTTCTGAGATCTTAATTTTAGGGGGTTTTATACTCAATCTTGCCATTTTCTTAAGAGGAAGATATATAAACCAAGCAGTTTACTCTTAACTCTCCATTGCCATGCTAAAAAGACAAAGAGGAGAGTCTTGTTCTGTAGGAACTGTGCTGTGCATTTCAGGCTTTGCCTAATAAATGTCTCCTTTAACAGAACTGGCCGTGCAGTGAGGTGCATGCTGGATCGAGATGAGGACATGCTGATAAGTGGTGGGAGACATCCCTTCCTGGGGAGGTACAAGGTGTGCAAACATATGAAAAGAATGCATGTTGTCTCAGTGTTGTCCCCTGAAACATCAGAGACTAGTAAGATATTGTGAAAAATGTAGCTGCTGTGGTTCTTTCACTGCTGATCTTCCCTGCTGCAAGTGGATCAGGTCAGGTGTGTTACAGCAATTTTCCTGTCAAAGTCCTGCAGAAGTTATTTTGACCTGGATAGTTCTCTTCTTGTGACCTTGGCATAAATAATTCTCTCTTCCTTGCAAACAAGACTTTGCCCCTGTTGACAAAGTCGCATTGCTCATCGATGCTCACCCATTCCTTTACAGTATCATGTGGTGATTTGCTCTATTAACTTCCTTTCCTCTTCAATGCCCATCCAACTGTTGCTGCTTTTCAAAGCAAAAACCTGTTAAGGCAGTTGTGACTGTGACAAGAGGCCAGCACCTAATTTAGAAGAGTTCTCTGGAACAAGTTTGAGATACGTGCATGGACCCTTTGCTGGGGAACTTCCTCAGTTGCTGCCTGTGCTTGTCCTGTGCTCCATCAGGGAGGACAGTCAGCCTTTTGGCTGTATGAGGTCCATTCAGTTTTTGGAGGGAAGTAGGAAATGGAACATTTTGTAGAAAACTGATTACTAAGGAGACTCTCTTGACAGGTTGGTTTCATGAAGAATGGGAAAGTCAAGAGTCTGGAGGTGTCATACTACTGCAATGGGGGCAACTCTGTAGACCTCTCTCGCGGTGTAAGTAAAATTTTCTGATGGTTAACTAGGCAGAAGGCATTTCTTTGTGTGACCTTTTGCTCTGATTTCAGAGTTGTTGTTTACAGCACTGCTTGCACATGCTATGACTGAAAACAGACTTTGAAGGGGGTTTGGAGCTTCTACAATGGCTCTCTGAGCCAACTGACCTGCCTTGTCATGTGCCACGTAATTCTTACTGATGCTGAACAACTTGGATTGAGCAAAAGAGTCAAGAATGTTTGGTTTGCATTACAGAGGGCTGTGATGGAAAACTTGTTGCATAATGCAAGATGACTGACAGTTCCCCAGCTCTGGGGAAAGATAATTCCTTGGAATAAGAAACATCCCAGTCAATGGGTTAATCAGGGCACAGTGCCTAAATCAACAAACTTGTTAATGACTGGCTAAGCCTAACATTGGGTTTGCAAGAACTATGGACAAAAATGGACCTGAGTTCTGAGTTCATCTCCACGAATTTTTGTGCTGAAGAGCAAAAAATTCTCCTTTTCTGCCATGTTGTGCATGATCAAGTCAATAGAAGACAGATTTATGCTGCCTCTCTCAGGCCCTCCTCCATCTGTACTGAACTGGAACTTCTTGGAAAAGTAGTGAATTAGTTAAGAAAGAGCACACATTTTTTGAGCCTAGTGTCAGTCATGTTTATTCTAGTTCACTTTCTCTAGCCCACTGAGCCTTTGGAAATTTCTGCAAAAATGAATCCATTTCAATAGGACAGAACTGCAACAGCTCTCTACCAGAGCCACATTCGATGTGGCTGTTGCTGTGCAGAGCAGAACGACAGTCTTCGCGTAAACTGAGGGCTTGGCTGAGAGTACATCTGTGTGAATTGCCTGTTTGACTGTGTCTGAATCAGGGAACTGGAAAGTGCTCCATGTTGAAATAAGGTTGAAATGTGTATAAACTCCTCTCTGTGCTGCTGCTGGAAGGGAAATCTGGGAACGCAAACCAGAAAGAAGCTCTACCCTTTCCCACTGTGAACAAATAGAGGACAAAGCTCTCAAAATCTTGCTGTTCAGATGTAGCTATTGAAAATCTTTATTTCAAATGGCTGCCCTTACTGCCATAGCCCAGCTGATGAGTCAGTTGATACCAGCAAGACTTCTTTTCCAACAACAGATTACTCAGTATAATTAAAAGAAAATTCTCTTTCTTCCAGATGGGTAATGGCATTTAGTAGCTGTTTGACTCACCATGAGCCCAGGGCCAAAAATGACTTTGAAGCTCAATCTGTCCCAAAGTCATAGGTGTCAACAGAGAGCTGTACATATTGTCCTGTCCTTCAGGAGGATACCACTTGACACTCCATTGCACATGGGAGGCAGTACTTGCTGCACTTCAGTGCTCTTCCAGCTGTGTAGACAGCAGAACTACAGGGTGCAAGAAAAAGTGCTGGTTGTTATAAATTAGCTTCAGAGCTTTCCAGTCTGGTTTTGGCAGCTAGTGAGAAGTCTGATTCGTGTAAAATGTGTCACCTCCATTCCTTTTCTTCACCAGGTTATGGACAGAGCCCTGTTACATTTGGATAACTCCTACAACATCCCCAATGTCAGCAGCGTGGGGACTATTTGCAAGACCAACCTGCCTTCCAACACAGCCTTCCGTGGCTTTGGAGGGCCCCAAGGAATGATGATTGCTGAGTGCTGGATGAGCGACCTTGCTCGGAAGTGTAACCTGCCACCTGAGGAGGTACAGATCCATTCACATGTTTCAGGGTGGTGCTGCCTTTGAACAAGCTCTGAGAACTGGACGCAGCCACATAATATTTTAAAGCATAAGAACTTTTGCTTCATTTTTGCTAAGCTCCTAGCAGGATTTCAAACTATTTTGTATGGCAGACACATTATAGGACCGATTATCTCCTGCTTAGTTAAATTCCATGGTAGCCTCAATTGTGTAACATCTGCTTTAAGGATAGATATTAAAAAAAAAAGTCCAAAGGCAGTAGGTACCCTAATCTTACTAATAATGTGCTTAAATCCCGATCTCTCTGAAATTTCCCAGCCTTAATGTTTTAGTTTCTGTTTTCTCGTAAACAGATATATGCCTGTTAATTCTGTTTTGTAGAATAATCGGAGAAGTAAAACTAGGAACCAACATGCCTTTGATCTCCTCCATTAAAAAGACCTTGTCTGAAGCGTTAAACTTGACATGTCCTTTATATGTTCTTTGGGAAGGTGCGGAAGCTCAACCTCTATAACGAAGGAGACCTAACTCATTTTAACCAGAAGCTGGAGGGATTTACTCTACGAAGATGCTGGGATGAATGTTTGTCAAGCTCTAGCTATCACGCCAGGAAGAAACTAATCGAAGAATTCAACAAGTAAGTGTTCTGGACCTGTCTTGTTGCTGCGTGCACCTGTTGCCTACTCATTTCTGAAGTTCTCTTAGCAATTTGAGTGATGTGAAGTCAGATCTTATATTTGCTGAGTGACTTCTTAAAGTTTCTCTTTTTGAAATTCCTTCATGCTTGCTCACTGTTGGAGGAAACATTTATCAGTGAACTGGTGGCATAAATAAGGCAGGAATCAGACCTGCCATGACATGATTTTGTAAGCGAAATGTAGCAAAGGAGAGGAGCTCCGTTAAGTCCAGCTAGGATTTTCACATGTCTATCAAGGCAGTTTGTTTAGGCTTGACCTGACCTATAGTCTTTTTTAGTTGGCTTGTATATACAACTGAATAGTTAATAGCCCAGACAACTGCTTCTATAATGCATGGGGGAAGTATCTTCAGTTTGAATTTCTTCTTGTTGTGTCCCATAAAGAAAACCATTCTTTAATACAAATTCCCTATTGACTCAGTCCATATTGCATTCAGGTACATTCTACTTTGATGACTAAGCTGTTGGAAGGAAGTACAGTATTGAGTTGTGATAAAAACCTCATGAGCATACGATCAATGTTCTTTCCTTTCAGGCAGAATCGCTGGAAGAAGAGAGGGATGTGCATCATTCCTACCAAATTTGGCATCAGTTTCACTGTCCCGTTTCTGAACCAGGTCTGTAAGTGTCATTCACCTTCTCACTAGAGAAGACGGATTTATGCTGCCTCTCTCAGGCCCTCCTCCATCTGTACTGAACTGGAGTTTCTTGGAAAAGTAGTGAATTAGTTAAGAAAGAGCACACATTTTTTGAGCCAAAATGTGCAACACAACAGTTACCAGTTTATACTGTCCAAAAGACACTCCAGTGTAGCTATGTTTGCACGGTACCCTGTTAATTTCCCTGCCTTCCCTCTTCCTCAGTAGTTGAAACACCTCTCCTGTGTTTGACCTGATTTGATGGATTGTCAGTGGTGTTAGCAAGTTCAGGAGAAGGATGCATCTGTGTTTCACAGGGGCAGGTTTGGTTACTTCATCTGCTTTCTGAGCTGAAAATATCGACTGAGGTTTTTTATGTCTGTCATTGGAACTTCTGGAGAGTTTGTGAGACTAAACCAAACTCACCTCAAGTGTAGACTAGTGGCTTCATTTACACCAAAGAACAACCTTAGTCCAGTTCCAAACTAATTCTCTCTGTAGTCTGGTAAGTACTTCACTAGTTAATTTATGATTATTAATATTTCCTTTTATAGGCTGGAGCTCTGGTCCATGTGTATACAGATGGCTCTGTGTTACTTACACATGGGGGAACTGAGATGGGTCAAGGACTTCACACCAAAATGATTCAGGTAATGATGAGTTTGGACTTAACCAAATGAGACATCTTTCCAGGAAAATTACACTCTCACTACACCCTATTGCCTCAGCCATCTTGACACTTCCTCTGTGTGCATGCATAGGGTAACAAATCATGACTAATTCCTCTTCGTTGTTTCAGCAGCAGTGCTAGATTTCCACACTATTATTGTAATTGAGTATGAGAATTAGATTCTTCACCATCTTAACTCTTATGTAGATAACGCAGGTTATACTTACAGTCTAGATTCTCTGGTATTTTCCTTTCACCCCATAAAAGTACAGTTTACATATATTTTACACAAAAAATAGTCGTATTGCACACATATTTATCTGCATATGCTAGTTAAAAAGGTCTGAGGGAGCAACACTGCTTTGGCAGGGAAATGAGAGGGAAATCTAATGGGCTCTTGATCCTCTGATTCTTATAATTGTTGAGAAAAGAACTTAGTCTCACAGAAGTGAATGTTTACCACTCTGGCAAAAGTGTGTGTACTCACACACATTCAGTGTGTGCAGTGCAAACTTAACAATGTTAATAATGCCTAGCACTCAGTCACTGAAGCAACTGAGCCTTCAGGAAAAATGAAATTTATGATGGGAGAGAGGTTGCAGTGTGGGTCCTGGCAGTGTAAGCAATCAATGGTAATGCTCATGTATAAGAAGCGCTGCTTACCAAGTGTTTACCTTTGTTCTGCAGGTTGCCAGCAGGTCCCTGGGAATCCCCACCTCTAAAATTTACATCAGTGAGACCAGCACAAACACTGTCCCAAACACCTCCCCGACAGCTGCGTCCGTCAGTGCGGACATCAATGGAATGGCTGTCCATGTATGGAAGCTGAGTTATTTAAAGTAGCCAGGTTACAAACTAGAGCTCCAGAGCACAAAAAGTTGTTGTGTATTTATCTGCTGCTTAAGGAAAATGACCATCCAAAGGCAATTCTGGCCTAAGGATGCCCCATAACTTCTTTACCTGCTATAACTACACATGATATTAGATTATGAATGACTATATTGTTTTTTAAGTTGTTCAAAACTGTCCTTCAGTCCTTTGGTAGTTCTAAAATAGAGTGTTTGGGATTACTCAAAATGAATGGAACAGAGCATCTATTTAAATAGTCAGCTTCTTAGTAATTCATGCAGTCTTACCTATAACTACCTATATTTATATATAGGTAGGTAGTTATATATATATATTAACCAATCTATAACAAATATATTTTGCTGCATGTATTAATAGCAGCTGGTTTGTGACCTGTGCTCCAGAACCAAAGACCTTCAGGAGTTGATGTGCTCATAGCAAACATTCTGCTGTAGCAATGGCGTGGTCATGACTGTCTGCCATGGTGGAGTTACCAATGCATGTATTTGCATGATATGTGACTTTTCCATTATAAAGAGGAATTTAGTACTGGCCATTCTCATTTTAAAAGAAAAGGGGAAATGTAACCTGCAAACCAAAAATCATCAGGCTGTTTTTATTCTCTGCACAACTTGTCTGAGCAGGTTGAATTTTGGCAGGAATTTTTTTGGTGTTACAGGATTCTCTTGTAAGATATGCTAAGATGTCCTACTGTGACTTGGTACAGAGAAAGTTATGATATTTCGTGTCATGGACCAGAAAGTTCTGGGCTGGATTTGGTATTCTTTTCTGCCATCAGCACAGCTGATCTCCTTTAAAATCCTTTTCAGTCAGCATCTATTCCTGTAGAGCAAGACATCTGTTAGTGAACTTTGTTCCTTTTTATGATATGCTGAAGTGGTAAGGGCAATATTGATTTAAATAGAAAGTTCTTTGAAACTCCTATAGGACTCTTAATACTTTAAGTTGGCTTTTCAAATATTAATATACTTCTTCTCTCTCTCTTTGTTTCTAGAATGCGTGTCAAACTATCTTAAAAAGACTGGAGCCGATCAAACAGTCTAATCCCAAAGGATCCTGGGAAGACTGGGTAAGCTGTTGTTAGAGATAGTTTTAATTGGCAAACCATGTGTGCAGGTGTATCCTTCAGGCCTTCTGCATCTTGCTAGCATAGACCTGAACAAAGACAACTAACCAGAAACCTGGCAGGGGTTTCCAAGTAAACAAACCTTGCAAGAGGTCATCCCCATCAGCTATGACTTTAACACTGAGAGTTCTCCAAATTCTGGGACCTGCTTCTGATGGACTTCATCAAATAAAAGTTTTGAGTGGTTATATATATACCTTTCTAGTCAGGCTACAGTCTTGTACAGAAGGAAACCTCATTTTTAATGAAGGGATTCTGTGACAAAGATGACTGTTGAGCTGCCATTCACCCCCTGCAGTGCTCCTTGGCTGCAATATCTCTGTACCCTCAATGAGAAGAGATTGGTGGGCTGTAAGGCTCTCGGGCCATTTTCAGATCCATGCTCTGCTCTTCATCAGAGGAGTTTTGACTCTGGAATTTGGAAGACAGGATAGAATTTCCTTTAGCCTCACTGAAGTCAAGGTGACTTGTCAATTTAACCTTTTGTCTCTGAGGCTAGAGGTCTAACCTGTAGCTGAGAGCCGAACAAACAAAAGCAAGTCTTAACCTTTGTAAGTGGTCAAGTTCTGCCCTTGGTAGGTGCTGATGGGGCTGTTTGAGGAAGCAGCTGCAATCATGATGTTTTCCTTGGCCGTGCTGGTGTTGAGTAGCGTGACAGTTACCTGTCACTGGACACCTTCTACTTGAGGTCCCCTGGAAATGTTTTTGGGCAGCTATTTTGCAGGGACTGGTTGTACAATTATTGTTTTGTTCACTTTGCCAGATTGTAGCCGCCTACCAGAGCTGTATTAGCCTGTCGGCCACAGGGTTTTACAGGTGAGTGAAAATTCACACTGCAGAGGCACAGCTCTTACCTGATTGCATGGATTGCATCCAGGGAAATTCTGGGAGGATTTACAGCCCCTATCCCCCTGTTGCTGCTCTAACTTAGGGTTGCATTCCCTCTCCTACCTAGAAATGTTAAGCTGACGTTGACACTCTCCTGGCTGGGGAGAAATCAGAGCTTTGCCTGGGGCTCTGCTCTGTGTCTGCCTTGTGACTTACTGTGGCACTAGAACTGTCATACAGGATAAGAAGGGGGAAGGGTTGTCCTTGAGGACAGTTGGCTGGAGTGGTATCCTGATTTTTGTGGAATGAGCAGATACCAGTGTTTCCAATTTCGTTCTCCCACTTCAAACTCTTGTTGGTTCCTGTGTAGTTCTGAAATGAGGGACTTCTCCTAGTCAGCTTTACTGCTGGAGGAAAACAGAGATCCATCACCTTTAAGGCAGAGGGGCTGACAAAAATAACTAAACAAAGTTTTGAGAAGAACATATTTAGGACTAAAATACACTATGAGCTCATTCCTGTTGCATCTCTGAAATGTATTTTTTCTCTTAATCAAGTGACTTGTCAGTATTTTAATAAACCAGTTTTCAGATAAAGTATAAGTTTGCCATGAACTGTGCTTAAAATAATTACTTGCTCTAATCCAGTCTCTGGTTCAGCTTGTTTATGCTCTGAAACTTAATGGCCTCCAAGAAATGTTCAGCTGTACACTAAAAGCAAAGGGTTTACTACAGCATTGGTGAGAATGGGTTTACTGTAGTCATGAAAAGCCCCAAGATTCATGGGAAAATAAAGATGGCTAAAATAGTTTGATAGTTTTGATCAGGTTTTGGAATACAAAGCAGCTTTAGCAGGTTTCTATTTATAGTTGTTTACACTTTTCATTTCTGCATGGACTTGATGGAAGGAGTGAAACAGAAGTGAATAAGGATTTTGATAAGTTGCAGTGTGGTTGTATTTGTTTTGTTCATGGAATGAAATGCAGTTTTGTTTCTCTTTGTATCAAGAATTCCTGACGTTGGTTACGACTTTGAAAAGAATGAAGGGAAACCATTCTCCTACTTCAGTTATGGCGTTGCTTGCTCTGAGGTTGAAATAGATTGTCTGACAGGTGACCACAAGGTGAGGGGGTCAGCAGTGAAATAGCTCTGTTTTGGTGAAGGAAACGATCATGTGCAACTAGAGCAAATACTGGGTGTGAGCCTGTTCCTGGCTCTGCCATTGGTCTGCTGTGACCTTCAGTAAATTTCTTAACTCCTCTGTTCCACAGTGCAACAATCTGTAAAGTATAATAAAACAATAATTATCTACCCTGTGGGGATTTTAGAAGGCTTAATGAATGATTGCAAAAGTTATTGGATTTGCTTAAGTAAGAGATAGCAGCACTGTGTTAGTACAAATGAACAGAAGCATAGTGGAATGAGTTAATCATTAAAAATAGCCCTGAAGACTTTTAGAAAGAAAGAAAGAGAAAAAAAATCGTCAAAATCTGACCTAGTTGGTTATGCTCAGGTACAGACCAGTGATACTTGTAGCTTGGAACTAATATAAATTGGGTCCATTGGATCTCTGGGGAAAAGTGCAGTGAATTCCTTTGATTTACTTTTGGGCCGAACTCAGATTAAAAGTCAGTATGAAGAGTTCAGCTGAGATAGATTTACGAAGGCTCTCCGAGTGTGGGATAGTGTTTGGATACATTACTCCTCCTCACACAAGACCATGGTGTACCAGTTTCAATGAACTGTGCTGATTTATCCTTTATTTCTGTTCTTTAGAACATTCGCACAGACATTGTTATGGATGTTGGTACCAGTCTGAACCCAGCCATAGATATAGGACAGGTAAGTGAAATAGTGTTGCTGTTTCCATCACATTAAAGCAATCACACAACTCTCAGGCTTCTCTATTATCCCTCTCCATGTTGTGCCTTTGCAAACACAGCCTTTTAAAGTTGGTACAGAATTATGCAGGGAAATAATCTGTTAGAGGTTTGTGGGGTTTTTTGCCTTGAATATTAATGCTACAGGATATTGTCCAGTTGCCACCACACTGATGTTTTCCAGCATCTGCCTTGCCTTAGAAATGAATCATAATACTAATATTGTTGAATAACCTCATCCCAGCTTATTCAACCATAGTTGAATCAGTTTTTACAGTGTGGCATGTGAGACTAAATCCTATACCTGATTTTTATATTCCTATCTGTCAATATCAAGTCCCATTTAATTCAGTGAAAATTCTTCTGTGAATAACGATTTAGGATGGTAGATTCTGTCCTCTGGCTACTGCTGTGTAGAGTTCTCAACAGGAAGTTGAGTCAGTCACTTAGCTTGCAAATTCCTTGGTGAGGGATAAGCTTACTTCAATATTTTATAGAGTAATAATCACAGTATCTCTCAGCAAATAAAGATAATAAACACAGCATTGTTTGATAGACCAAGAAATGAATCATTAGACACTTGCACAGGCTTATCTAGCCATCTTAGCTCCCTTGTTAACTCTAGGTGTTGATATGGTGTGACTTCAGGGAAACTGCTGCAGGATTTGGGCTTTACGGGAAAGCATTACTTGCAGAGCTCTGCTATAACTAAAATGAAACTTCTTTGAAAGCAACGTTTTTTCTGAAAAAGATGTTTTTTGGAAGTGGCCAAGAGGAAATGAGGCTTTCTGTCTTTGCAGCCTGTCGGTTTGCATCTGGGAACAAAAAGATAGCCTAAGTGGAGCCTGTCAAAGAGGTCTCAAGCTCCTGTGTCCTTCCATGAATTACTGCAGAGGGTCTATGAGCACAGGAGAGAAAGGATGTTGCATGAGTGTAGGAATGCAATATGTGGAGATGGGTTAATGAATGCTTGTGCCAAATCCTGAGACTGGTCTGACGGTCAGATATCTCAGTGGGCACAGAGAGCAGAGTTGCTTCATGCAGGGTTGTTCAAGCACGTCCTCCTCTCATAGCTGTTCCCCTTCATTTTTTAATTTTTAATTTTTTTCTCCTAAAATTTATAGTAGAAAAAATATGCAAGGAAGTCTTTAGCACTTGAACGGATATGGGGGTGTTTTTGCAGGTGTCTGTTCTGGTGACCTGAGAATATACAGCACTTAGGAAAGCATTAATACTGAAATAGAAAGCATAAAATAGTTTGTCTTCAAATATTTCATCTTTAATCCTTTTAGTCTACTTGTCCTTTGAATTATCAGTTAGTACAACTCATTCAGTGTTAATCTACCTGGGAAGGGATCAATATTTTAGCATTGATTTTTTTTTCCTCCTTGCTTCATCAGAAAATTCCTGTCCTGCATTTACAGAAAATCTGCTTGTGTCTATTTGGAAATTGCTTCACCTGCCAGGGTAATGCAGCCTCATCTGTGTGGGAACACAGGAGTTGTGCAAAGGTGCCAAGCTGTACTTGGCAAAAGGAACAAGGGTTTAGAGAAGAAAAGAGGGATATTAGTCAGAAGGGGAGGGTAGAAAACTCTAGTAGATGTCATCACTTTTTGTTCTTGCACAGGGAAGAACAACAGCAACAAAAAATGTAACCTTGTTTGGGTGTGTTTGTAGATAGAAGGAGCGTTTGTCCAAGGCCTTGGGCTCTTCACCATGGAGGAGCTGCGCTACTCTCCTGAAGGAAACTTGTACACTCGAGGGCCTGGGATGTACAAAATCCCAGCATTTGGAGACATCCCAACAGAATTCTACGTGTCTCTTCTCCGTGACTGCCCAAATAGCAAAGCAGTTTACTCATCCAAGGTACGCCGGCGAGATCTGCAGGCCTCTTACTGCTCTATAATTCTGTGAAGCTGAGGTGTGATAAAGTAATCATTCTATGTGTCTAAATAATTTGTCTTGTTATGCTGTCTTTATTTTGAGGTCAGGATCTTTTCCTGTTTCTTACCAGAAATATGTTCACTATCCTTTATGGTTAGGAAGAACTATTAACCTGCACATTGCTGCCCTGATTGTCCATTAGACAGAATTGAAGTGGCTTTGCTGAGCCAGTTTTGCTGTATCAGAGGCTGCCAGCCTCCCCCTACATGTCAGCTCCCTGGTTGCCTTTCCCTGGCATCAGAGCCATCACTCTGGACGTTTCCAGCAGTGTCATTTCCCCAGATCTCATATGCCAAGGTCTTGTGTCTGTTTTCATGTTTTGCTTTCTTCACTGTTTCACAGTGCTCATGTTACCCTTAAAGGTCCATTATTAATCCATGTGTCCTTCAGCTGTTTGCACTGCGGTCAGTGAGGGCTACACAGAGCAGGGCTGGATAAGCAGCACCAATGAATTTGTTTTACTTAACAGAACCACCCAGAGAGGGGCCACCCAGCATCCTTATCTGTATTTGCCTGGTTTGCTTCCATTCAGTCTCCCATTTCCCCATTTCCCCTTCCACAAAGACATCTCATCAACGAGGAGAACTTTTTGGGTGATTAGTGCCAATGACAGAATTAAGAAAAAAGGGTTGGCAGGGACCTCAGTACTAAATGATACTTGTGTAATCTCTGAGGGAGGCATTCCCGCTGGCTTGCAAGGACCTCCAGTGGTGGAGTATCATGCTCTCTGCCCAGACAGTTTATCACTGAATTCCCTTTGCTGCAATTTTAGCACCATTCAGAACACTATGAGAATGGGTTAGTCCCCTTTTCCTTCATAACAGCCTTGCTGTGTCAGAAACCTTGTGATTTCCTACTGTTTCTTCTTTATATGAACTGGGGGTTGTTTTAGCTCAGTCTTTCCTCTCTGATCACACCTGGCAGACTGGAGGTTGTTTTAGCTTCATGTTTCCTCACTGAACACATCTGGTAGACTGAGGTTCACATCTGGAAAGCAAGTCTCACTCTTGCTTGTGGTCTTCTAGGCTGTGGGAGAACCACCTCTGTTCCTGTCTGCCTCGGTGTTTTATGCCATTAAAGACGCCATCTACGCAGCGAGGAAGGACTCCGGCCTGACTGAGCCATTCAGGCTGGACAGCCCTGCCACCCCGGAGAGGATCCGCAATGCTTGCGTGGACATCTTCACCAAAATGGTAACAGCCTCTGGTTCCATAGTCTGCTCCCTAGCCAGCCTACCCCACGTGGAGTGGGTGTGGTAGTCACAGTGGCCCAAGGCTGGGATTAGGGTAGGATGTGTCCCTGCTTAAGCAGATGGTTTTATTTCATGGTTATTATCCTTCATTTAACATGCTGCCAACTGAGAGACAAATCCAAAGACCAGCATTGCTGGGTTCCCATTGCAGGAAGGGCTGCTGCACACTGTCATTGGAGTTGCAGTCCATCCCTCGATCCTCCAAGTGTTGTTTGTAGAATAAATCACTGACTGCTTGTCCTGATGCTCCTGACTATCATCTCTCTCCGCTGACATGGTTAGGGCCACTCTGTGATCTAGGGGTGTCTTTCAGGGAAGGAGGGAGAGGAAAGGGTTACTGAAAATACACCTTTCTCCTGAATGTCATGGCCACAGGACTCTCCCTAGGGGCTGTGAGCTTGATCTGAAGGAGTTCACAAGCTGACCCTGCCACTGTCTCTTCATGGGCTCCTCAGTCACAGTGCTGTCACAGGTCTCTGCAGGAGCTGACCATTAGGCCTTCAGCTAGAGCCAGGCCCAGCCTCCAACAGAAGTGCCATGAGACAGACATCTCCGTGTTTTGAAAGACTGGGACAGGAGCTCATATCTTCGCCAGCACAAAGTCACCCACCTCAAAAGGAACATGCCAAACCCTGGCCAGGATCCTCATTTGTTACCAACCCAATTATTCTCTTCTCTTTACAGTGCCCTTCTGCTGAGCCAGGGACCTTTAAGCCATGGTCTGTGCGTGTGTAAAAGGAAAGTCTGGGGAGCAAACTGCTGAAACTGAGCTTACACCAGAGGAACCACAAGGCAGAAGGACTATAATGGAGAAAAAAATACCTGTGTTCATGTGGCTCACCCAGGGATTCATGGAGCTTTCACATTTAATTGTCCAATCACTGTTTTCTCTAGGAGAAGGAATTGCTGGCAGATTATAGCTGCAATGTAAATTCAAATGAAGATAAAGTGGAAGGTGATGTTATCCAGGTGTAATTGAAAAATCTTACAGGTTTCATATAAAATTGCTGCAATGATGCTTATTACCAGCCAGTGTGAAATGGCAGGGTGGTTGTTTCTTTTTTTTCCTACTGTGGGGAAAGATGGACCACTTAGTTATGCTGTGCCAAGAAGGACTTTAATGTGTTGAGCCCAGACATACAGTCCTCTCACTGAGATGGGGGAAGGCCTAAGAGGCACTGAGGGCTGGACTCTACTGTGTCCCCTCTGGACAAAAAGCCAGATATATGCTAGAGGAAGATGAGGAGGACTTTTAATGTTAGCTAACAGAGGTCATCTTTCCTGTGTAACAGAAGTGTTTCAGAGGAAAACGCTAAAATGTGACCAACAACTTGATTCATCCCAAATTAAATGACTGTTGCTGTGTCTGCACCAGTGCTTTAATGAGGTCTTAGTTCAACTGCTACCTTGTCTTGTCTGATTAAAGATAAAAACTAGAGATACCAAGAGGACTTCCATCAAGATGCTACTTTGTTTGACACATCCTTTTCCTGTCCCACACCTCCATATCTTTCCCCATATTTTAAATAGGAAAGGACATCAGCTACCTTGGAGTAACAGAGAAAGTTGCTCATCATTGTTCCCAAGGAAATTTGTACCAGCCTAAGCAAGGGACACAAGGAGGATGGACACAGCTGGGGATTAGCTGACTCTGGGTGCCCTCTAGGGTCAATCCCTTGCTGTCATGCTATGGCCTTGCCTTCTTTTCAAGAGAACACTTAGTTTTGCTGAATGTAAGAGAATGGGTACCTTTTGCTATAGGGACTACTTGTTTGAAAAGTGTGCTGACTGTGTGATGACCCAGTGTCGTCTGGGTTGAATATATTTTTTGTGTTGGATCTAGTACTGGGCATCCCTCTTGACAGGTTTTGTCACTGTCATATTTAACATTGCAGCATCGTGTTATCTCTAGATGATGTCAGCCATGTATTTGTAATTGTTCATCATTGCAAACTTTTATGTTTCTCTGGCCCACAGCTTTATGAAAATGTCCTTTTTCTGTTTTTGCACTCCTAGGGCCATCAAAAAAATATGATGCAAGAGGATGTAACTCCATTGCCTTCTATAAAATTTTGCTTACATGCAAACTACTTAAAATTGGCCTCTATCTTAGGACTGGATGAAGTATGTTCAGTGTGAAATATTTTTTTTAAGCACTCTGGGGTATATTGCTTGGAAATATGTAGATTTATTTCTCAGATTCAATACAATGGTTCTACCATTTAGAAGAAGGGAATTTGCACATGTGAGTTGCAGAAAGTATTTTGTGCCAGTTGTGCTTGCTATGTAATTGTTTTATTAATTGAAATACAATATTGGTGTTTCTTAAACTCTGAGGTACTGGGCAAGAACATGTTTTTGTTTTCTCCTGAAAGTTGGCAATATGAAAAAAACCACTTAGAGAAGAAAATGTGATAATTTGTCTTCAATAATGGCAATTGGAGCCTGTGTATCCACATTCTTGGATGTCCATGAAGGGATACAAAACACAAAGTCTGTAAGGTAGATTGGTATCAGTACTGTTCCTGGGACTTCCACCTCATGGGATCGCTGGACATGCTCATTCAGACCAGGCTGATGATAAATACAAAGGGAAAGTAATGTGTGTTAATGCAGAGCATGGGCAGACACAGGCAGAGTGTGATATTGAGGAGCTTCAAGTGTCACCTCAGGGGAAAGCTGCCAGTGTTCACGGGAGGCCTGCTGCCTTTGGGGGCCCTGGGACATGTTGGGATGTCACTAGCAGGATAAGTGCTCTTTGTTCCCTGTGGTTCTGGAAGCACCTTTTTCATCATCTCAAAAAGGGTTTGTGGTGTCTCACATAGTCACAGTGGCTGCCTGGTCAGGTAAAATTTTTTTAGATTAGATGTATTTCTTTTGCAATTTGCTTTGTGAGTTAGTTGCAATTGTATTTACCAAGTTCTGCGTACAGGCAGTGGTCAGAGCAGGCTGTTCAGTGCAGATCTTGGACTGTAGAGCCGCTGTTTTCCTGCTGCATCAGTGAGCCACTCTTTCCCAGGCACCAGTCCTTGCCCTCAAGCCCACCCCAGTTCAGAGCCCTTTTGTTACCCTTGCCCAGCAACAATCTGATGGAGGGAGGAAACTCCTTCCTTTTGGGGTGCACTGGAGTTGAATGTAATTTATATCAAACACTCGGGGAGGGTAATGGTATAAAATCAGGGTTGCAAAGTAATTACAGAAACTGGTTTTGAGGGTGTAGGGAAAAGGGTGAGACAGGGACTCTAAGGAACATGAAGCTGAGATTTTCATGTCACCTCTAAATGTCTTAACATTTCATACATTGCTTTCCTCTGGAACTTAGGAAAGGACTGAGATGTGCTGTAGAGGCCTGGCAGGAAGAGAAGGTCCTGCTACAGGATTCCCAAATTAAGGTGTGCTCTACACTACAAAGCTGTCGGAGAGCAGCTCTCCTGCCGTGAGCGCACGGCCCTGTCCTCTGCCAGGTGCTGTGTCACATCTCTTCACACACGTCTTGCTGCGTGGTAGTCACTGAAGGGAAAGTTACTTACAAAGAGAAAAATGTTCCTTTTCTAGTACTTTCCGGTGAAATACAGCATGGATGCAAGACTCTAATTTCATTACATATAATTGGAAATTTGCTGCTTCTCTCCTTCCCAGATTGTGTACTCAGAAGAGGAACTATGCCATCTTGCTAGACTGTAAAGTATTGCGCAGAGTAGTGGTACTTAACTTGTAAACGTTGTACCTGGAGATTTTGTGGGAGGATGAAAGGAGGCCTGCTGATCTGATGTCTTAGTGCTATTAATTGTGAGGGATGTGAGAGGGAGGGCAAGTTTTTGGTAACTGTTTTAGGTCAGTTCTAATCAAAAGTTTTCACTATCATTCTTTAATGAGCATTGTCAAATTGGTGTCCTCGTTACATGAATGTATGAGGAATTCTCTGTGAATGTCACAACAATGCAAAATAAAGCTGCTAAATATTCTGGAGACCAGTATGCTATGGTAAAAGTCTGCCATGTTTTGAAAGCTGGACAACTTCAGCTCATCCTTGGTGTTTGGCAAACATGGAGCCTTCCTGGAGGCTATGAGTCAGATCAGCTCAGTGACCAAGGCTGGGAGATGGCGGGTGGTTGCTCCAGGCTACTCAGCCAGACGAAACAGATGAGCCAGCTGGAGAGCCTGGGCCTCCATCCGGACACACTGGCAGTCAAGTCCGAACGAAAGCAGAGTCAGTCCTTGTGCTTCTTTGCCAGCAGGAGCTTACAGTAGCCCCACTGTTTTCCACAGCAGCACAGTGATGCATCCTGATGCTTCTAGCCACCTCCACAGGGCCCATCAGCTGCTGAGACAATTTGGAAGGTGGTTTTTCTGCATGGTGTGGCTGGTACCTGGTGCAGACTGAACTATCCTTGTCTCAGTGTCGGCCTTGGCCCATTTGAGTCTGCCCTGTAACAGGGGGAGCCAAACTCAAAACTTGTGAATGGAGCAAGCATCATGTGCCATCCTCAAGGCCCTCTTGAGCCTAAACACATAGGAGATGTGAGATTGTAAAACAGGAACAGTTCACACAGAACAGATAAGACTAAATGATGGGCCAGGCCCGATCTTTTGTGAGCATGAAAAGATTGGGAACATCACCAGTGATTCTCCAGGAGGGTGTACCACCCTGTGTCCTATCTCACCTACTTAAGCAGAGTAGGGAGAAGGAGACTCCGGATGACGTGCTCCTTTGGGAACACTTCTTGTATCTGCGTAGGGAGACTTATCACAAAGAAGCCATTGCCAAACCTCTTGGCCCAAAAGGGAGCCCAGAATACAAAATGTCAGTGCAGGGGAGAGCATGTGTGATGCTGCTGTGGTTTGCAGCAGGTCCGACCCACTCTAACCCAAGATGCTGGGTTTGCTGAGAGCTGCTCCACTGTTCAGTTCATGCAGTTTTCCAAGCCTAGAGCCACAAGTTTCCCTAGTGCCTGCTCTTGTCGTGTTTAAATACAATTCAACCACATGAAGAGCCTTGATATCCCATCCCTGGCAGTGGTCTGTCTCAGCTCTCTGACGTACCTTTTGGAGCTGTGACTTGGACAACTACGCTGCAGGCAGCTGCGAAGCAAAGGCCTGTCAGTATCTTGAAGTGCTTCCTTTTGGATTAATGCTCTCTGAAACAGTCCCTCCAGATGGGCTGTTTCTACCAGGTCTCTGGAGTGCTGAAGGAGTCTGACAGAAAACTGCTAGAAAATGGGAAAGCAGAAAGGTCCCAGCGGTAGAAGCGAGAAAGTTTCTTCTTCTGTTGGGCAGACAGCTCACTGAACATCTGCTCTGATAACCACCTGTAGGTCCACAGCACTTGGGTGTCGGTGAACTTGGGGAGGAGGCTGTCCACAGGCAGCCCAGCCCGCCGTAGCAGGTGGCCCAGCTCCTGCTCGTGGAAGCCAAACATCACCACGTAGTCGTACTGGATGAGACAGGGCAGGCAGAGGCTGACGAGTGGTTTCCAAGCCACACTGGTGTTGTGTGTTCCACTGGCTAAAACATCCTGAACAAAGCTGCTGAAGGATGGGCTGCTGCCCATGCCTTGCAGGAATGTGGCAATCAGCCTGTGGAAAGGGTCCCTGACAAACAGCACTTTAGTGTAAGACCCTAACATGGCCTCTATCTCTGTCTGGTTGAACCTGCTCAGCTGTGTCTCCTTAGTGTGACGCCAATGGTAGGGAAGCAACATTGGGAGAGTCATGTTTTTCTTCTCTAGCTTCTCCAAAAGCTGCTGCCATTCCTCAATTCCCATTGATGGCACTTGGCAGTAGAGGAAGTCCAGCTTGGTGCTTACCCTCAGATTTGAGAGCAGGTAAGCTCTCTCCTGCTGGCTCCTCGGCAGCATGGTGACTTTGCGTGATTGGCTGCAGAAAGCTCTCAGTCTCTTCTTCCGGAGCTGCTGAACGTGAAGGAAGGTGTCCAGTGTCAAAGTGAAGCCCTCCTCTGCCTTGGGGGCCAGGTCACCTGGGAAACACCATGTGAAGATGGGGGTGAGGAAAGCCCATAGTGGACCTCTGCCCTGAGTCAGCCCCCCCAGCACAGGATGCTGTGGCACTATTTTTTCCAGTTATTTCACTGTGGAAAAGATGTATCATAAATAAAGAAGATGGGTAGGAGAGGGGAGATGAGCCCTACCTGGCAAAGAGCTTGGCTCTGCTGGGATGTGGGTTTCTGTCTCCATGAACATGTGAAATTATGTACACCCAGACCCCACTTTCCCCAAATCGCCATGTCTGAAGACTAATCTTGACCATAACTTGGTGTCAAGGGCCCATTCTCCACTAAATCATAATTTTTCGTTCTATGTCCTTGCTTTCAAATGATCATAACTGAGTTGAGTTTACCAAAGAGTCAGAAATATTCTGAGAGACTGACAAATACACGATGTCCTGCAAACTCTTTTGTGTCTGTTAATATGTTAACATCAGCTACCAAATATATTTGAAAGCAAGGGATGATTCTTAATGGCTTGGGGTGATTTAGGGATCCAAATGATGTAACTTCTTGTATCACTTCCATATGTAAATTTTTCTCTTGTAGATAAAAAGGTAAAAGCAAATAAAAAGCAAAAGGCAAATAGAAGTGAGACAACAACAACGCAAATATAAAAGGCAAAAGCAAATACAAAGCCTTTATGAGAGTCAGCTTAATTTCTCAGATTTCAACTTTGTTCTTTCCTTTTATCTTCTTATTTTTGATGTGAAGAGGCCATAGTGGGTTAGAATGTGGAAGATTAATGCCTGCCTTGTTACTTTATCTTTTTAGCAGCAGCACATCTGCCTCATCTGCTCAGTGCAGGCATTTGGCAGCCCTGGTGAGACACTTAGTTTGGTGGTTTCTCCTGGGTCCTTGGGAAGTTAAATATTTCCCACTGATTTGGGGAGGCTGTTGTACAGGGAAGAGGCTGTTGCCCAGTTAAAATTGGGCAAAGGACACCAGGAACACAGGAAGAAACGTGGCTGGTGCCTGCAGCTAACCTGGGCTGCTCTTTGAGTTGTCCAGCCCCAGAATGACAATGTCTGCAAAATCTAGTAATGACTTTGCCCTGGAATGATGGGGACTGAAAGAGAGGGATGCATTTTTTA